TGATCCGGCATACGAAGGCACCTGTACATAACACGGCCAACGTCATCAAGTGTATACTTCATTTTGGGATTAGGCTTTTCCGATCAAATGGTTGTGAAGCCTTTAGGAATACATAATTTTGGAAAAATACATCTCCAAAACTTAAAACTCGGATTAAAAACTCAAAATTCCTCGAATTTTCAGAAAGAAAACTTATGTTTGAATTCAATAAGATGGGCCGTTCCTTGCGGTACTGCAATGCAAGGTCGACCCGCGGCAGAGCCGGAGCAAGCCCCACACACTCCACCATTTTCCAAAAATCAGTTCGATATTCTGGCTCCCCAATGGGGAGCGTATCAGATATCAAGCTGATAAGAACAGATACTACACTTTGATCTTAGCCAAAAGGCCGAGAAGCGATGGCGGTCGTTTCACCTTGCTACGTATTATGCTCTACAAAATGCTTTTCTACTTGCAGATAGTTTCGGCCCCCTAGTAGTGACATATGATACCATGGTAGAACGTGTCTCGTGTCTGGAGCCTACATATTACCGCCCTTATTCAAATAGTCCTCAAATGTTCACAAGCATAAGTGAATTAATATTCAAGTCCATAAATAATAAATAAATAAATAAAAGTTGCTATCAATATTTTTGAATTAAAAAAAATTTTTTTTAAATTTATCAATATATTCAAAATTGTTCAAAATATTTTTTTAACATTTTCAGTGTTTTCGAGAAATATAATCTGCGTTCAAACATTTATATCATACGGTATATATGCAATAAATATTTTGTCGTTGTTCATGTTGTAAAATTAAAAAAAAATTGATTTCCAAACTTCTTTATAAATTTATACCATCTTTAATTATGACTTCATATTCGAAATTCACAAGATCATCATAATTAATTACTTTTTCGAGAAGTTCTCAACTACAATAATAATTTATTTTATATTTGTATAATACATAATACAAATATAAAATAACGAACGCAGCGCTGATTGATCGCCATTTTCACTATTGTATTGATCGACCGATAAAATTATGCTACACTACAACAATTTGATTTGACATTCAATCAAGATTTACGGTTAAAAAACTGAAAATGTAATTAAACATACTGAAAGTAGTAGAAAAACTGTGATGCGATAACAGTATGGGAAATGATTAACAGATGCGATGCCGCAAACGTAAAATATATGCTTCGTGCGAGTGGGAACGCTGTCGGCGCACACCAACGAGCTGCGTGCGAGAAAGACCGAGTAGCTTTGATGCAAAAGGCCGTAAAATTCATGCGCCCACCCACGGAAAAACTCGCGGCCGCGTCCCTCCCACTTTTATCAACGAATTCAAACAATTCGCCAGGGTAAAAAGCCAAGCGTTGCTCTCTTTCGACGCAGGCGCCGCCCTCCGTTGCTAGAAAATATAATAAGCGTGTAGCCCTTGCAAAGCTGCTGCCGCTGCTGCTGCTGGCGGCTTATGATATTGCGAAATGGCCGCTCGCTGGCAAAAGCGCTTTTCTCGCTGGCTTTCTGGTTTATGAAATTGCCGTTGTTCATAATGCGTTAGCAGCGAATTGAGTGGGCCTCCCCCTTTTCCCTGGAATTGTTTCGTTTGATGCCCGTCCGCGCGCAAGCCAAGTGCGGTCTTTGCGTTTCATTAGTTTGGACTTCAGTGGGCCGTGTAATGAGGAATTTTATGATTCGATGCCTATGCTTTTGCTGCTGCTGCTGCTGCTGCTGCTGGACGATTAAAATGGAATTTCAATTTTAATAACAGCTCCGCTGGTCCGTTCTGCGCGTACTTTAGTTTTCAAGCTGCTGCTTCATTGCACGGATGTTTTGATATCTCGAAATTATTGCAATTTTAGCTGATTATTTACAGTATTGAATATAAGGAACTTCCTACATAATACATCGGACATTAGAAATTGGTTATTAGGCGTGTACCGCAGTGAAAATAACTTGCCAAATGGTATATTATTGCACTAATGGGGAGCTATTTGTTCAATCATTGTTCAATCAAAGATACACCTAGATGTTGAATGAATAATTCGTCTTATATATCTCGATATTTTCAGTACACGTCCAATGTCTGTTATCCGACGTCCAACATTAATGTTATTTTTATAAAGAAGTTGAACAGAGTTTGGCTCATTGCCAAATTAATTTTTACGTAATTTGAAAGAGATTTTTCTGCTATTTAAAATAAACTCATTTTAGATTTATAAACTTCAAAAAACTAAATTTCAATGACAAAATTTTATTACGTAATATTGTTTGAATTACTTGCTCAAATCATACATATAATGAAGTTCGAATTTTATTGATCTGTACTACTAAGCTTTACTGCGTTAGGAGAATTAATTTTAATTGTTCACTTGGACGTGAATGGCTGACTGGGATCTCAATGATTTTCATGAATTTATCATTTTTTTCTTCCAATATCTTTCTCAAGTCTACTTCGTGTCAATCAATACATTTCTAAATAAATACATCATATTTCAAGTAAATTAAAAAAAATATTTTCACTCCGTTAATTTTGCAAATATTGTTATTTTGCGATATAATTACTAGTCCTTCTAACTTATTGTAATCGCATTTATTTAGAGCGAATCATAATATTCAGTTGTGACAAATAATTGAAAATAATGTTTCGCTTAATATTCATATTTAATAAACGTGTAGAGAAGAGTTCTCAATTAAAATTTATTTAAAATTAAATTAAAAATTGAATTAAGAGTAATAAATGTGTTTCCCGGTGAATAGCAATATTTTTCACTTATATATCATTTTGAGAAAGACATTTAATAATTATTTTAATTGAAGGTGAGCTCTAAAACTTTCTACATTACAGTAGAACAGTACCTGTCGCTTTGGAATATCAGTAATTCAGACGTTCAGTGAAAAAATTCTAAGCTCGATTTGGTATTTAAATCGATAAAACTCATTAAAATAAACTTCCGATATTTCTTTTCACTTACAAAATCCTTCAAATACTCCTGTGCCAGTATAACAAAAAAGACCGAGGTAACAATAGAGTTCGTTTATTATAAAAAAGGATGGCCGATCCGGACATGTACCTACCCCCGTATGCAGCGGGGAAAATTGAGTTAGAGGGCGGAATTGAGACGTCTCACCGAGAGGGTGGAGCCAAAGCATTGTGGCGAATCGCACGAGCTTTCCCCACCCACGGAGCTTGCGTCTGACGCCGAGAGAGAGAGAAAGCTTCATTTTAGATTTGCTATGGGACGAGACAGGCTTAATAGGCACGGGCTTATCATCGCTGGGATTATTTGCTCGGATTTTCAAGGATAATGATGGCCTTTTTCCTACAATAAATTAGCTGGGTATTACGTAAGAACGCGGATTTTTTCATGACTGACGGTCGAAGACTTTATTTCTAAAGCTTGGAATATTTTATTTTATGAAGATGGAAATTATTGTATTCTTTATATATTAGACCGTAAATCTTTATTGTAACAATCGCTGGTCACAGTATCGAACGTACAGTCGTTCTATGTGTGTATTAATTTTTTAAAATTGCTTTCAAATTCCAATCAAATACAATAAAGGAGACTGTTATCGCAACAAAAATTACCAATTCACAAACATCCAATCATCGAGATAAAAAAAAATAAAGAACATGCCAAAAGCTCAATATAAAACTCTCGACGTAAAACGCCGCATCACGGCAAGTTTTAATAATCCACCCCTCGAAACGGAAGCTATGTGCCTTACGTTAATTGGTAGCCTTTCTAATATCGCGAGGCAAGCTTTACCTCTCTGTGTTCACCGCACGCCAGCATTGATTTTAACTTGCTTGGTTGCCGCGCGCGCACAAAGCGAGAAGTTGCCCGACGCGGGTGGCTTGCCCAGGATGATATACTAATAATTAGAAAACTTACTTAAGACGGCCCCAGCAACCTCTTGGAGTGCATACCGCCAAGCTTGTGTCTCGATTATTAGCTCAAGGCTTAAACTAGTGTATATCACTCGTTTGTATGGCGAGTCTCTATCACAAGGTGAACAAACGATTTTTAATTATATCATGTTTCTTCTTACTGCAAATTACAGCTTGAATTATAAAGTTAAGAATTTCGTTCTACTATTTTAAATTTAATTTCAATTATCATCGTGTAAAATAATAAAAAATATAATTTTGTAATCGTTCTATTGAAGCAAAATTCACTCGAGTATACTCATTTTTACCTGTTACAAAACTTTTGTGTATCACGTACAATAAAAATTTAATTAGTTGCCAAAAAAATTAAAACTTTGCTAACTTCTCTGAAAGTTTGAAAGAAAAAACTCATCATCTTTTGTCGGCTATAAAAACAAAATTCATAACAGAGGCATAATAAAATCAGCTTAGAGATGCAAAGATTCATGTACAAAACTGTTGGCGCGCTAAAAAAGAAACGTCGAGAAAAAAAAATAAATTCCAATCTTCGATGCTTAAAAGCTACACCAGCAGAAAAAAAAATACAAAGAGCAATCGCATCGAGATACGGTGAAAAAAAAAGAATGTGGCGATGCTTGTGCGCGCGTTTTGAATTCCTGCGTTCGCTTATAAGCCGCGTGCATACATATATAGGGGAGGAAGGGTGACTTTTATTGCGCACGTGCTCGCGTCGTCGTCAGCCCAGTTATGTCGCGGGAAAAAAATGTTATTGATGTCCCTCGCGCGGAATGAGCAATTTTGATTTTCCACGAGGGGGCAACGACGACGACGATCACTAATTGTTACCCATCACATAGATTACATCACTATTGCTAATGTATGTATACGTCAAATTGACTTGATGATTGATTACCGATGGCACTGAAGATGTGTATGAAAATTATAATCCGTATTTTTCTTTTTCTTCTCATTTTCATTTATTTATTCATTTTATAGACTAATACACAAAAAACGGTTGATAATATCACTCGTAATATTAAATTATTAACAATATGATACGATTCTTGAAAATAAATTAGAATAAATAGTTAGACGCACATTATTGATAAATTTATGATATCTTTTTTAATAAAGTAACTTGTGTAACAAACTCAAAAAATACTCATACTGTAATATAAATTTATTTATTAGAAATAAAATATAGTATTTTAATCTCTCTCTATTTTGTACCGATATACAATAAATAAACTATGAATTTAGCTTCTTTATAACTTATTCAGACAATGAACCGCATTGATATTGAAATGGGTAGATAATTAAATAAGTATCTATACCATTTTAATCGTTAAATACAATTTGTTCAATAAAATCTTTTAATACGGAAAAAAGAACTCTATAAATTAGTGCGTTCTAATACAAACTCAAGAGCATCAATAAAACAATAAAGGAATATATAAAATGAACAAAAAAAAATCTCATAAATTATAACACATCTATCATTTGATGCAACTTAGACAAAAATACTAATAATCACACCTAGTTAATATAAAAGTAAATTTGTACTTGAAAAGTCTTTATCGCAACTATTTTAAAATCGAAAATCAGAACAAGAAAAAATCGTCATTACAGTATTACGCGTAATACACGTGTGGAAGGCAGTCACGGTATGATAAGATAATTCAGTTCTTATACAAAGCATGGCAATTCTTAACATGTTCCTCGTAAGCAAACATATTAGTGTAAAACTTATTACACCTGTCGCAGACAAAGCTGAAATTCTCATAAATATAAGCGTGTTGACTTTGAATATGTCTGAGCAGGCTGAATTTAGTTTTAGTTTTGAATTGACAATGTTCACAAGATAATCCAGGCTTGACACCGCAATGCATTTTCTCGTGTCTCTTGAGACTATCGCCACGGTTAAACCACTTACCGCACTTTTTACAGAAAGGCGACTCGTTGATGATAGAAAAATGAACACGACGCTTATGTTGACGGATCTTGTGTTCTTCATTGGCTCGGTAGTTGCAATGTTCGCATCTGAACTTTTTCGCTTTGCATCTGGATATGTGTCTAGTAAGATCATACACGTAGGAAAATTTTTGGATACAGTGGGGACATTCGTGGATTTTGGCGCTGTGTGAACGAATCACATGAAGGCGAGCTGCGTGCAAAGATTCCAGGCGTCCTAAGTTTGGGCAGCGTGAGCAACTAAATGTAAACGACAATTTACAGAATTCGCAGGATGATCGATTGCTAGTCAGTCGGAGTGTGCGGTTGCAACGTGAACAATGCACACGGATAACACTTCGTATCTCTGAAACAATTTTATAATTAAATTAATAAATTGAAAAGCTTGCTTAAAAAATTAGATATTTTGAAAAATTGGCTGTTATTTCGACTGTGCATGTTGAATTTAAAACAAATTATATATTAGAAATTATAAAATAGTTTGTTATATTTGCTATTTATGTTTTTGTTACTTCAAAAACAACGTTCATTTTGAATTCTGCAGTGTTATAGTATTTGTACGCATTAATCTTGATTCCCTAGTCATGAGAGGCATGTAAACAACCTCCCTTCCACTTTTAGAAAGGTGTAGGAAGAGAATTTTTACATGCACCATGACTGAATCTACAGTTTCAGGTGGAATTTAAGCTACCAAATACATTATAAAAACGAAATGTGATGATGATGTAAATAGAATAACTTAAAACTTGTTTTTTAGCATTTTCGGAGGATAATCTAGTTATTTATAAGTATATATTGACTATTATTGGCAAATTATTTTTAATTATTTTCACAAATATTTTAAAATAAATTATTAAATATTAATTGAAAAAACTTAATTGCACATTTGAAATCGTCAACTTCTAAAAATATATCTATTTTAAAAAGAAATTTTACGTTGTTCAGTTATCAAGTCTCTATCGTCATCTTCCGTTTCACTTCTGTCTTGTAGTCCTGTATACGATGAAGAAAACGACATTAATAACTTTTCAGACTTCAACTTAAACTATATCAGAAGAAAAAAAACCTTACCGCAAACTTGAACAGTGCCGTCATTGTCAATAGTTAACTTCTTATGTAAGATATGCTGCTGTAAATGCATCTTCATAGCAGAACGATGCTTGGTCTTGTAATCGCAGAATCTACAATTCAGATCAGCCTCTTTGATGCAAATCCGTTCGTGTTTCTTGAGAGCATCCTGAACTCGAAAACTCTTACCGCAGCCGAGACGACATGTATAGTAATCTTCTGGAGCGAGATAAATATGTTTACGAATAATATGTTCTTGTAGATGATATCTGCTGCTACTGACAAACTCGCAATCTCGACATTTAATGCGACCACTGAATATACAGTTACCCTGCACGTGAACGGCTATTTTAGTCGAGAGCATATATTGTTTGCGACAAAGTTGACATATTGCGGTCATCAAGTCGCTCGAACAATCATCGCAAGTCTTCTTGTAAGTAGCCGGAATTTCATCGTACATCTTGTTGCACACTACGCACTGAACACGAATGAAGGCAGGCAGTTCTACAATCAACGTTATTTTTTTATACGATTGTACATTTAGTTTTAAGAAAATAGTTGTAAAGTTTTACCAATAACCGGTATTGTAAGAGTATTTCTTAATAAATCTCGAAGTGCAAAACTGGAACCTTGACGGAGTATACCTACATTAAATAAATATAAAAATGATTCAATCATTAATTGCTAATATTAACTGACAAAGTAAAGGATCACAATTCAAACAGAAGAAATAATTAAGAAACGAACCACCAGCAACTTCTCTCGTTTCCTTTACGACTCGATCGACAACTTTGATGGCATCTGCACTAGTTATTTGATTCTGGTGTTGTGTATTGAGGTGATGAATGAGACTACGTCGTTGTTTTACTTTGGTTATGCAGAATGGACAACATAAATACATTGCGTCGGCGCAGGTTAACCAGTGATGACGTAGCCTAGTCTTGCCAACGAATTCACATTTGCACTTTGGACACTGAATTATTGAATCTTCGGCTATGAAAATATTATTATAGATGTTAGTTTTGCAAAATTACATTTTGATTACTTTTAAAGTAAAAGCTTCATATTTACTAAATATTGATGAAGGACATTGTTTGTCGTTAATGATGCTCGCAGGTAACAAAGTTGTCGATAACATTTGTCTTTGTGGATGTACAACTCTCTGTCCAGTTGGTTTGATAGGATATTCTACGGGAGGTTCGAGTACTTCATCACGCAGCTCAGAAGCTTTAATGACTGAAATTGAAGGACTTCCCTGTTGCATTACTTGTTGTAACTGATTCGAAATGATAAGTCCTTGTTGCTCTACCGGTGATGGTTCTGTTTCATGAATTTCGATTTGTGGTTCAAGAATCATTACTTCCACTTCATTTTCTTCCATTTCGTCTATTAAAAATATAATATTAAAATGCATTGTTTTTTTTTATTTTAAATCGGTCCAATTCATGAATACTCACTAGAATCATCGGAAATATACAGTAGCTCAGGTTCGTGATGGTTCGACGGCTCTTCATTATTAGCGTAAGATGTATCAACTAAAAAGAATTTTAGTTTTACTTTGTGACTTTATATTTTAATAAATCAAATAATGAAAGTAATGTTTTTGTATACCTGCACTCAAATCGGCTGTTATTTTATCACAGGCATCTTTCAAATTCATAACTATATCGTTCAATGTATTGTTGTCAGTTGGAGCACCATTGTCTATGGAAATATCTTCTGTTAAAATAAATGAAATTTGATTAGGATTTTTCTATTTTCATTCTTACACTTCAAATGTATAAATTTAATTACCACTGTTATAGTATGTAATTGTTTCTTGAGGCACATTGTCTTCTTGGTCATTATGGTTTTCGTTAGCAAATATTTCAGCACAAGAACTTTCATCGATTGATTCGAAATTGCTGTCATCAATGTCTTCTAAAAAAGTAATTGTCGATTAATTTGAAAAATTCAATTTTATTATTTATTATTTAATATATTTTGTTACTTACCAGCTTCCGACACTTCCGAGGTCTGTTCCGAGGTTGAATTTGATTGACGAGATTCTTTGTGCATATTATTGCATTCCTTATTTTCAACAGTTTTATTGTCAATTGTATTTGCACCTATAATTATAAATTATTATTGTTATTGTTATTTGATATAAAACTTATTACCATTTAGAGAAAAATAAAACCATTACTTTTTTCTGAATCAATCAGTGGACTATTAGATATGTCAATGTTATCGAGTTCAGTATTTTCACGAAATGTTGTACGTAAATTATGACTAGAATCTTTTTCTTTTTCAGTATTCACAGCCATTTGATGTACATCAATTATTACATCTAAATCTGTAATATTTGTAACATCATTTTAGTATTGTTTTTTATAAGAAATATATTATGTTTGTTAAAATAAAAATTAAATTACCTTCATTATCTTCAATTTGTATGACTTCAGGCGTTGAGAAATTTCCATTTACACAAATATTATCAGTCTTGTCATCATCTACAACTACCAATGTAAAAAATGTATAACTTAAATAAAACTATTACGAAAAAAAAGTGAAGTTATTAATAATATTTTTTGTAAAATACTCACCAGCCCAATCATTGATTACTTCTTCAACCATTTTTCGAACTATAACGCTATGGCTTTCTTTATTTTGAATAGCAGTTGTAGATATATTATCCCCAATTATGACATCATTGTTAACATGAATTTCAGTATTTGTTTCCTTTTCGGACGTATCGGAAAATATTCCTTCGCCTTTATCTTCAAGTATTTCCTCTAAAATTTGTACAGTGTCATATAAAAAAATAAATTCTTCTTTCTAAATATGTAAATTTATCTTTGCGTACCTTCATTTACACTACAATTGTCACTTGGATTATGTACAATAATTTTCTTTCCATTTTCTATATGTTCATTATCTAAAAAGAAATCAAAATTATAATCTGATGATGTTAATAAAATATTTAATGCTAAGAAACAATAAATATATACCATATTGATTTTCTTTTTCTGATGTTTCAGGACTTTCAGTAACATAATTTGCATTATCCGCAGTATTGATATGCGATACATTTTCAATACATTTATCTTTTTCTGTTGCTTCACAAATATTAGAAACATTTTCACTATTTTTTATAATGTAAATATCACTGATACTGGAGTCTATATTATTTTGTGATTCTATTACTAATTTCTCAATATTCTCGATAGTGTCCAATGGTTGTTGGTTGACAACTGTTAGCTGTTGATTTACTGCAATCAGAAACAAATATGAAAGGTAATAACATTTTTTACATCGAAATCACGTAAATGTAAATAGTACAGATCAATACTAACCAGTAGAAACTTGTGAATCCACATTATCATTACTGGGATCGATTTGCTTAGATTTCTTAGCCTTTATTTCTTCTTCAACAGTTGGTATGCGGTTTCCTTTACGTTTACCTTGCAGTACCTTCTTTTTAGGTGTCCCTCTTTCAGATAAACATATATTTTTAAGCTGATCTTGATCACATCTAACTAACTTAATTACTATTTCTTTTTCGGAGCAGACATATTGATATTTGTTTATCTTAGAATTGTTTGTTTCATTTCCTGAATTAATATTTGATTGTTGTATGGTACACTTGTACGTTTGTAATTTGGATGAGCAATGTTGATTTTCAACGAGAGGTATCATCTTTGACACTGAGTTTACATCTGCTTTTATTTTCCTAGTTAATCCTCTCCTAGTTGTAATAGCATTGCTTGAATCATTAATATTAACTGAAACTGCATGAGGTATAAGTTGTGAATTAATTATATCTAATGTAGATTCATTGCTAGACTGTAATCGAGAAGAATTTAATGCGGGATGATGTTTTTTAATATGTACTGCTTCATTATCAGTAATAAATTCTTCGCGATTCTCTGTTTCACTCTTCTTAATTAGGTTACTTTTAATAGAAATTATATTCTTGAGATCTATGTTTTTTGAAGTCTTTTTTGAATCAGTTTTATGTCTTCGGTTACTACTATTATTATCAAGATTACTATTTTCATGATCATATATTTTATCTTTTTCAAGCATTTTTTTACTACTGGTCAAAATTGTATTATCTATATCTTCTATGGCCTTTGTAGAATCTGTTAAATATTCTTGGCTATCAATAGGTGAGGTAATTAATGATAATTTACTGCTCACTTGAACGTCTGTTTGTTTTGATGTCAACTGACTTTGTTTTACTTTTTCTATTTTATTTTCCATGTGACTTTCTTTTTGGCTAGCGTTCTCCTTTTTATCATGCGATTTACGTATTGTTAAATCGTTTTCTTTGGTATCAGGTGTATTAGCCAAAAATTTCAAACTATCTTTCAGTATTTCGTTTAGTAAAAGCTGTTTACTATTTTTCGTTATTTGAGAATCAGATGTAGAATGATTTTGCTCAACACATATTATTTGATTCTGAAAAGATTTGTCATTATTTTTTTTTTCTTTCTCTGCTCTGCTTCTTGTAGATATTGTATTTGTGTCAACTTTTTTGGGAGTTCTAGTTGAATTTTGTTTCGAAATGTTAAGTAATTTTTTATCTGTAGATAACTTATTCCTAATTTGATCATCAGTGGATGTTGGCACGTTTTGATTTTTTTTTGATTGTACAGTTATTGTATCAATACTGAGCTTTTCTACAGTCAACTTTTTGTTGTCATCTACTTTTGCTTTTGCAATCAATTTGTTTCTTACGGAAATGATATGTTGTAAATTATCTGTTGTGTTTAAAAACTCATTCACAACTTTACATTTACCACTTGAGTTTCTACTAGCTAAATATTTTTTGTCATCAATAAGAACTGAAGATAGTATAGGTTGAACATTTTTTGTTTGCAAAAGATTATGTTCTATAATAGGCTTATCTTGGTAAGCTGTATACTTTTTATCAAGTGTCTTGCTTCTAGTTGACATTCCCTTCTCTTTATTAAATATATCTTGAGTTTTATTTAGATCTACTAAACTGATTATCTGATTAAATACATTTTCACATATTGAAAATTCACTATTACATTGTATTTCAGATGAAATTGAAGCAAAATGTTCTTCTGCTTGTGTTACTTCGTTTCCATCAGTATTGTTATCACCATCAACTTTCTTTTTCTGAAGTATCTTACTTCTAGTTTTAATTTTATTTTTCACAATCTCTTTGTTTGGAGATGCATCAGAATCAACTTTTGACTTTTCAATTGTCTCTTCAAGAGAAACCTGAGATGAATTTGAAATAGGACTATTTTGTAATAAATCTGTCCTTTTACTTTTAATAACTTCCCTTGGTTTCAATTTCTTGTCATTATTCATTTTCACTTTTTTTGATGAATTTTTTCTAGTAGTTTTGTTTTCTATCATTATATCTGAGGTAAAATTCAAATTATTTCCTATTTTTCCAGCTGATGGAAACCTACTATTCATTTGAATTTCAGATACATTTAAGATGGAATCTTTTTGTTTTGACTGCGTTGGATCATTCTCAATGAATGATTTATCATGATTATCTATTTTCTTCACATTACACAATCTACTTCTAGTTGAAGTTGTTTTTTTATTATTTTTGTTATCCTGTGTATCTTCAGAGTCATTTTCTTTCACTTTGTGGTTAAGTATTGTTTTGCTCATTGAAAATTTATTACTTATTTGTTTTAGTGTTAATTTTGGTACAGGTTTTTCACTATTATCTGTATTTTTCTTGTAAATTTTACTTCTAGTTTTGATTAGATTGCTTGAGTCATTATTTTCAATTCGTTCAATTGTTTTATCCACAGATATTTGTTTCTTATTTATTTGTGTAATTGTAAATTCGTTATAAATTTCAACTGGGCAAGCATTGGTTGTAGAAGTATTATTCGCCTTTGTTATTTTGCGTAATTTATTTCTAGTAGAAATCGTATTTCTTATACTATTATCTTCTATGTTTGAATTATTTTCTTGTATGACAGATGTACTACTGATTCCTTGTGATGTAATAGATGTAGAAATATTTGGTGAAGAATTCCGAACATTGATGCAGCCGCTTTTACTCGATGTGTTTATTTGAATGATTTCATCTATTCTGTTATTATTATTTGCACTAGATGTTTCTTGAACTGGATTAGTTAATAAATGATTCTTCTCTAAGTTATTATTCCCAAGACATTCTTTATCGTCATTTGCTTTTATTTTTCTAAATAGTTTCCTTCTAACAGACACAGCATTATTCTCAATTTTTTGTATAGTAGTAGTATTAGCTAGAAGTGCTGGATGTTCCTTTATCTCCTTACTTAGCTTTTTATCAGTAATCACAGAGTTATCAAGATAAAATTTGTTTCCTAAAAGTATATTTGAATGAGACTTTACTTATTAATGTTATAAAAATATTCAAAAGTATGTATATTTACCAGATTGAGTTTTAAGACTTTTGTTTAGTTGAACATTTTGCAAATGCTTTATTTTTTTCTTGAATTTGTAAGATTTTGTTGATAATGCAACTCCATGGCACTTATCTAGTTACATAAAATAATTATTATACTGCATGAGTAAAGTTAATGTTTTAATGTAATATAATTAAGTTACTGACCAGTAAGAGAAGATTGTAGTTCATTAGTAGTTTCAATTGAATTTGTAGATTGCAATGTTGATTCTTCTAAAAAAAATATAAAATGACAAAATTAGTGTTTATTTATATGTTCTGCCTTTCCAATTTTATTAAAAAATTATCGATATCAATTACTATAAAATTTTGATATCTTTATTTTTTATTAAAATTTGGATTTTTAGCGTGACCTATAAAAAAATAAATGAAATTAATTTACTGACAGTATATTAACAACAATATACTGTTGTTAATATACTCTAAACATAAAATAAAAAAATTTTTACTACTATTTTATGTTTGATATATTTATCTTACCATTTTCCGAATTGAGTATTGTATTGGTTGATTTTTTTAATTCAGGATTTTTTATTGTTGTTACTACTTGTACTTCTTCTACTTTATTAATTTTCACTTCTAAAAAATTAACAGTAAAATTAATATACTCTGTTACACTTGTAAAAATAATAAATTGCAAACCTGAGATTTTGTGTTGTTTCGTCACAGTGTCTTTTGGCAATATAGCACCATCTTCCCTAATATGAAGTTTTTGTAAAAGTACTGGATCAAGAAGATTAAAAAAACATAAATATTTCATAAGTAAATAAGATCAATATTTCTTTGTGAACTACATTAAAATAAGAAATATTTTTATTACCTCTAGCAGATTTGACTGATCTGGCACGTACTCCAATATCTGGCTTATGATAGTTTTTTGACCTTTTTTCTGTAAAAAGATATTTAATAAATAACTTCTTAATTTTATAATGTGTATGCTTTTAATTTATAACTGTTTCCAAACAAGCTATCTTAAGCATCTGTCTGCTTTATTACTTGATTCATGATCATCATATAACACTGAATATTGTTATTAAGTGTTAGATCTTTATTTTTAATAAACCTTTCAACAAATAGAAAAAATACTATTGTTGTTATATTTAGATTACGTTATTAAATGTATAATTTTTTAATTTGAGTAAAGACAAGTTCTTTTAATAATAGACCGACACTATAACCTTAAATTTGTAAGTAGTACATTTGATGATTGATATTTCAAAGTTTACCTTCAATCATTTTTACTGAATTTACCCTTTGAATTACGTACAAATCTGTTATTTACAAATTTCACTTAGATTCTAATAATACAACTAATGCACTGATGTGATTATATGCATTTTTGCATACGTGCATAACGCTGCATGTCACTGCTTACTACCTACACTGTTACAGTATGTTCTCATGGACAACACGCAAAGCGTGACTCCTAGTCCAATTTGTCCAATGTCCAACAGGCATCAACAAACGCTGAAGCATGTGGTATATAGGCGGTCACGTCATTGCGTACAATAACATGTTTATGAAAATATACAGATTCTCAGTTATATATATTTTTATATTTATATTTCGTTAAATTACTGAAAAATTATGAATTACAAATTTTCAACTAAAAGTTTTTCAAATAGCATTTTAAAAATAAAAATAATATATTTTTTAAGTTTTAATGCATGGTTTATAGTAATTTATTGTACAAAATTATTTTTTGTGTATGTTCAAGTTAATTGCATAAAGTAAATTTTTACATTCATGTGTAATTTATATACATAATGGCTCATGATAATTAATTTCTTTTACACCATAAAAATAAAAACATCACTAATTTTCTGTTGGCTCAACAAGTTGATATTTATCTGTAGCCCCACCAAGTTGTATTAATTCATTAACTAGTTCTCGAGGATTTATTTTTCTCGATATTGTTAAAGTTCTTTCAGATTTAGGGCCATAGCTCTGTGACTTGAGTCCTAATTGTTTAGCTATTTGATGTATCATGGCTCTCTCTTCATTTGAGAAACTAGGAGAAAAGACCAAATCTGTTGATGTATCTTCATTTCTAGCAAATGTCTGTAATACCTCTGTACATTTTTTTTTAAAAACATGCATATTATAAAATCCAGATTTTAAACCAAGTCCTTCTCTTGTCATTTGTTGCTGTACACTGACAGGTTCTACAATACCCTGAGATTTTTTTCCCAATCCACCACCAGTCCAACCCATCAATTTCATCATTTTGGACCCAATATTGTCATTTCCAATAGCATCAGATTCATTGGAGCCTGACGCTTTTTGCATACCAATGTTACCAGTAAAATTTGGAGTTAAATTCTTTGTGACTTTTATTGTGTAATATTGCTTTCTCAATTTTTCCAGGGCTACAGCTGATGCTTCTCTTTTAGCTTCCTTTTGATTGAGTCCAACACCTTCACTTAATTTATTCCTATTCATTAATATTGTACAAGATGTTCCTTCTGCGACTTTGTCATAATTCCATTCTATTTTTAAATTGAAACTGCTAGCAGCTCTAGCAATTATACTTTGAGGTGCATCATTCAAATATTCAAATAAAACGATTTCAGCTTTCCTATTATCAATAAGCTTTGTTTTCTTAATGTCTACAGAGCTTTCTTGCTCCAACGAATCTTGCTTTCTCTTAAAATTTCTATAATGAGGTGGATGATTTGTTAGTGATGATTCTTCTGTATTTACTGTACTTTGTGATTTTTCTGACCGCGATTGTCCTGAAAATATAAATGCATATTAATATAATTCAAATATTATTCTTAATGATACTTTAAAAACTCACAATTTCTCGCTGTACCTTTCGCCTTAGAACTGGCTGCATCAGATGCTCCAACAAAAGTTCTTTGCAGTCTTCCTTTTTGTTTTTCTCTGTAATCTTGTACAACGTCTTTTGATAATTCTGCAATTATCTTCATTGTTTCTGCAGGATATCTGCATCCCAAAAATTCCACATTTGTAAAAACTTGCGCAAGACATTGTAGTTCATCTGGTGGAAATTTTTCAGCGTGCGTCAAAAGAAATTTACGACGTAACTCCCAGTGTTCGTCGCATTCATGTTCCGTTTTGTATTGATCAACATTAGATTTGTCAATCGACATTGTTCTGTTTTAACAGTTGAAAACAATACTTGAAAAACTTTTCAAAATAATTTACGATTTTCACAATCTTCGCAAAACGCTCTTATTTTTCGTTATATATGAGACAGCTATTTGCGTTTCAATAACACTGTTTTATTGTTTACAAAATTCTTCTTTTCTACAATATAAAAGAGCATACCTAATACATCTTGCACAAAGTTTACAAAACGTTTATTTGAAGGTTAGTAAAAAATATGCATATACTACATACATATTGATTGAAAGAGCTAGAAGGGAAAGACTATATAGGGAGTGAATGAGAGAGAAAAAGAGAGAGCGAGGGAAAAAGAGAGAGAAAAATTCTATCTGCTTGATTTAAAGGCGCTATTGGCAATCTAATCCCAAAAAAATTGAGGTAACAAGGTGGTGCTGCACTCCCATATAAACAATGTAAAATAGAATACTAAAGTTGTTTTCCTTTTAAGCAGCTTTGGACTACTTTGGAATTTCACCACGGCCTACCGGCGCTGTCGTCAAAAATTTCAAGACTTGTCATTTTTGCGGTCAATTTTGTGATATTTCATAATTTTACACAATTTTAATAAATTTGACAAAATTTCAAAATTTTTCACATTTTTGTAGTCAATTTTTCGAATTTTCAATATTTTTCACATTTCTGCATCGGAAATCGCTTCGGAATGATGTCCAGATTAATGAACAAAATCGTTGGCTTTGTACAAGTGACAATGGTTTTGTTATTAACAATTGAATGCTCATTTTTCGGACTTATTTTAGTTTTTCGTTAATATCTTTTTTTATTGAGGCCCTCGCCACATGTGCGCATATGTGCGCGTACGAGCGCGTACAATATAAACGCGTACAAATCGCTAAAAATTTTGATAGTGCCAACAACAGAAAGTTACTACTATTCCTTGCATGCCCCAAACGAACACACTTACTCCCGGAACAAACGTATCATAACCTTCAATAATATAGCGTTATGATACGTTTGTTCCGGGAGTAAGTGTGTTCGTTTGGGGCATGCGAGGAATAGTAGTAACTTTCTGTTGTTGGCACTATCAAAATTTTTAGCGATTTGTATGCGTTTGTACGCCCTTGTACGCGCGCGTATGCGCATATGTGGCGAAGGCCTGATGCTACAGAAATTTAGCGGATATCGTTTGATTCGTAATAAAATTGTCTATAGAATGATGTTATGAATTTATTAATTAAGTTAGATAAAAAAATTAAATCATAGCAGTATCTTGCAAAAACCAAAAATAAGAGGAATTATTTAAACCAATATAAAGTTTGAATATGCAGTTACCAATGCTCGAAACTCTAGTAAATGATGTCTTTTAATAATCTAAAATAACAGGCCCAAGCGCGGTTTTGACAATACAAAAGTTCATCAGTAATAAGCTATCAAAGTTTCGACTTTGATGTTTTCCCGGGGGTTTTCACGCAACAATTTTAAAATTCTGATATTAGGAGGATGCTTGGGAGATCTAAATATATGAATGATATCAATATAAACTATTTCCGACCGTCCAATACCCGTGAAATAAAAAGTGCTTAGTTGCAAAATAGAATATCTTCATAAATAATGAATTTACAACAACCAGCTTATAGACAATCGACTGCTAATAAAATGATATTTAGGATATAAAAAACCAATTGTTCCATCTTTACTAAGGGCCGAGATAATTTTTTTTGTCGTACAGATAAGTAATCTAAGCCAAGTAGGCTTCTAATCAACTTTTCTTACACGACTTTTTTTATTATAATCAGTAATAATTTAACTATTTGCTGAATTTTTATTAAGCTTTGTGTCATTCACAGCTTGCTTTAAATATTTGACAAAGTCAAGTCATTACGCGTGGCGTCGGAGATAGAAGTCGCTATGTGGTGGGAGGCAGCTTCGACTATCACTGATTTATTTGAATGACTTAAACTAATTAATTTTTACGCTTCCATTAATCGTAGAAAAAGTTTTGTTCAATTCACGCATTTTTTTTTTTTTACTATCGTAATCGATTATCAAATTTTAGTTAATATTAGAAAAATTGCAAAAGATGTTGCAATTCAAACTTTTTACGGATTTTATTTTATTTCTCAATATTATAAGTTATTTAAAGAATAATTACTGGAATAAGAGTAGCTGAATATCATTCTTAATAGCAAAGGTTCAATTTGATCGTAATAATGCTTTAAAAAATAATGAAATAAGTACGTTATTTTAATCATTTTATTATAATAAATATTTACATAATTTTATATATGTAATAAAAATAATATGTTCCACAATATTATATTTTAAAAAATCATCAAAATCATAGGTGATTAGAATTAAGAGTGCAAACTTATAAAAATTCCACAAAACTTTATAAAAAACACATGTAAAATAATTATTATGGAATCTAAATTTAAATTTTAATCTAAGATCACCATGAAAAATCGTAATTAATTAATTGAAGCGTTAATAGAAACTCGATGTTGTAGGTTATGCGGCGTAAAGCAGTATGCTTTACTTTATGCTTTGCTTTCAGTCTTTCAATATTAGACTCCAAGCTTTCATCCCTTAGTCTTAACTTCTAAGTTACCTAAGTCCCAAATCCGGCTTACCTAGATCGTAGAGGTTGCTCGTGTATCTCGATGACAGGTACCAAAATGGATCATTTATTTCTGTTATAAAAAATTTATTAAAAATGTATTACAACGCATCGATCAAACATAATTTTAAATAATACTTTGAGTTGGAAAATATTTCATATCGTTATCACGAATGGAAAGAAAAATACGATAATTATACTAAAACATTACAACTGATTTTCATTAAAGTAGAAATCAACATGTATTTTTGTTTTTCATTCGCATTTCCAATTTTTATTTGACAATCAGACTTTCTCATTTTGTATTACATAATAGAGTCAAAACGATAAAAAAAAACATTATTTTGGCAGTAATCGTTCGTAATAGAAATCACAAACTTCTAATTTGTTATATATGGAGTAATAATATAATGGACTAGTTTCTTTTATCATTGTATTTAATAGTTGAAAATAAAGAAAAAAACTTATTTCAATTACTATCTTAGGTGATTATGTGTAGAGATCCGCAGTACAGTTAAATGTTCTAAAAGGCAATACTTATTTCATGCACGCATCAAAATATATAAAAAAAGTCATGCAAACATTGCCAGACATGGCTTCATTTGTCATGTGAACACTCATCTCAATGCGGAAGCGCAAGACACAACAATATTACGTACGTCTTTTAAAATCTTGCTTTTTTGCATTTGTCAGTGTGCCTCTCATAGATAAAATAATTTCTAAACACCTGACGGCAATTAACACAATTAAAAGCTTCAATACCACGGAAAAGCCTGGCAGCATGTTTGGAGTGTATATGTGCAACGAGGGTCGATTTGGAGACAGTTTTGAAGGAGCAATGATCGCAACTGACAAACATATTAACTTTGACGCAGCAAGACATGTGGCGGGACAATTGATTATTGCTCTTATAAATTTTGCCGCACTTATAGCAATGATACCGTCTTATTATACTTCTTGTTTTTTTCACGTGTTTATGCTTAGAAGATGATCCGTTTTTTGTCCAGTTCTCTAGACAATTTTTCTTTAAATAGAATTTTAATTTGGGAAGCGGCTCTAATTCTCTTTTTTTTCTAGGAATATGATTTTCCATCAACACACTGGAATTTAGTTGTCTCTTCCTTTGAGAACCTAATTTGCTACGGTATTCTAACTTTTCATTACTTCTGTTATCATCTATCGTATCTTCGTTATTAACCCTCATTATTGGCACTAGTTCAGGTAATGGTCTCGAATTTGATAAATTTTCTGTCGATCTGGAATCTTTTGCTTCACGACATGTCAAGAGATGATGCTTAAGGCTACGCTGATATTTAGTTTTAAATAAACAATTAGCATTAGGACATATAATGTTTTTTTCTTTGACACAGTACTTTAGGTGATGTCTGTAATCTTGAATGTAACTAAAATTATGTCCACAATAACCACAAGTATGAATACGTTCGGTATGATGACGAATTACGTGGATACGCGAAAGCTGATAGTTGCGTTTTTGCTGTGCACACCATTTACAACCGTAGATGTATGGAGTATCACAAATTTGGCATTTTATGTATTTTTCTAATGCTGAAGTCCATTTGTCGCAGGTTGGACACCAGCATGTCACCGATTGGGATACAACTGTAATGTCATACCACAGATAGAAAAATTATATATCATACATTTTAACTATAATTTAATTTATAATAACGTACAGTTTTGAGTTTCTTGTGGCAGAACGAAACCGTAGGTACTTTCAACTAGAGCAGATCTGGGCGATTTAGATAAACTTGGCAGCTCATCATCTAAAAAGAAAACAAATTATTTTTCAAAATTACATCATTTCTGTAAAATGATTTTATGATTTCATACCTCTATCTTTTAAATCTGGGTGATTTTCAAGAGTCTGCTCTTCTAGAGGATCATCAGACGTTATCATCTCGGAGGTAAATATTTGATCAATATCTAAAAATAAATATGAAAATTTATATTTGATAAGATTGAATGGAAAATTCATAGAAAATCGCGTACCCTCAATTTCAGCGCCAACAAATTCGTCTTGATTGTGCAACTGAACTTCAGTTGGCATTCTCCAATGTCTTTTGAATATATGTTTTTGAAGTCGAGCCTTTGTAACAAATGTTTCAAAACACTCGTCACATCTTAACGTTAAGCTTTTTGAATTGTGGAGTAGAGTGTTATCAAGTAATGCTGCCCGTTCAGCTATAGCTGAAAATATTTATATATAAACAGTATAATTTCTTCCTGCAATAATAAAAGATTGCTTTTAAATATTATTTTCAATAGATTATACCTCTTAATGGAGCTGACTTTTTAAATATTTCCACAAGAAGAGGTTCAAGATGTGCTTCTGGGCATTCTTGTTTATGTTTAACTTTGATATGCTTTCTTAAAGTATTCTTTCGATTAGTCTTCCAAAAACAAAATACACATTCCAAATAGGGTGGTACCATACAGCATCTCGTGTGATCTCTCAAACTTCGCTCGGATTTGAAAAATTGGCCACATTTAATGCAGTTAAACATCTTAGCCAATGCAGATGAAACATTCAATTCAAATGGACGTGGGTTTACCGCAATGAAATGGTTATCTACATGTCCATCCATTTCTGCTTCTAATGCGTCATCGTCTAAAAGATTTTTAATTATATAATTATAAGTTAAATATCATGTTTAGTAACTTACTAGTTGTAAGTTACTAAAAACTTACCAGAATCATTAGGAATACTTAATAATGAATTGAGGCCTGCTATACAAACATTGGAACTTTCAAAATTATCCTCTAGAAAAATAACCAATATTTTATTCTTAAATTTATTAAATTTAATCCATATTTGGAATAAAAATTAATTTTTTACCACAAATATTGTCGTTTGCTATTTGTTCACAAGCTTCTTGCAATGTCATAGATCCACTTCTACATTCATCTTCTTGATTATCTGCACTTTCAGTTTTTATATAAGCGGATCCATCGACTATAAAAATTAACAATTTTATTTGAAGTTTCAAAAGAAACTAAATCAAAAAGTTTATTAATTTTACCATGATCTAAGCAAGAATCATCTTCATTGAATTGTTCGTAATTATTGACATCATTCTGTTCAATTACATTACTTTCCTTTCTTACTATCCCGTAATCGTCCATCGTTTCTATTTTAATAGTATTGAGTACACCGTCTGGTAAATTATTTTTCGATTTTTCAGTATTATCTATATCAAAAATTTGCACAATTATTTATCAAAAACCATATTATTAACAAGGAATAATTTATTTAGTGTTGAAATTACCTTTTTCATTTATAGTAACATCTGAAACTTCTTGCTCAAATACGTTATGGTTATTTTCAGTTCCAATTATAGCATTTTCCGAGCTTTGTGATTCGCTTACTTTGTGCGAGTCTTCAGTTCTTCTATCACTATCAGTCAAGATTTTTCGTATTTGAAGTTTTACTTTGAATCTGTCTCTATCTGCAATTTTTTTTAAAAGAGCTTTTTCTATAGCTTTTCTTGATCTTTGCTTGTCTGCTAAAGTTTTTGACCTTTCCTCATCGATGACTTTTTTCAATATCTCTCGTTCTTCAATTATTTTTAATTTTTCTTTTTCTATAATTTTTTTTATTCTTTCTTCTTCCGCTATTCTTTTCAATCGTTCTGTTTCGGCTACTCTTTCCTGTTCTCTTTTCAAATTTTGTCGTATCGTTTCATCTTCTATTGCTTTTCTTAGTTTTTGTTCTTCGATTCGTTTCTTCTCCGTTTCACGTAACAGATGCAGATATTTGTGTTCGGCTACCCTTTTCAACTTTTTTTCTTCAATATGTTTCTGAGCATCTTCTGCAAGCCTAAAAAAAATAATTTTAAGATTCAGAACTATTTTCTTTTATTTCACTATTCAAATATGTACTAATTATATCCACTGTTTTATAAAATTGCTAACTATAAATATAGCAACTCAAGTTTTACTGCAAAATTTAAACTTTATTATACAAACGAAACATTTCAATCGATTGCGACGGAATGTTTCTTATTAAACAAATTATATAACCAACCTCTTTTGAAATAATTCCATAAGCATGTCTAAAGATCATAGGCATGACTTACCTTAGTCGTTCTAGTTCAGCAATATTTATTTTATATTCTTCTTCGCGTAACTTTTGTGCTTGTTCCTCAACTATTCTTAACTTTTCCTCTTCGATTCTCCTTTTCTGTGCTTCTATTAATCGGAGTTCTTCTAGTTGCGCTGCTTTTTTCAATATTTTCTCCTCAAACTGCTTTTGTCTTACTTCTTCTTTTAACTTGAGAATTTCAGCCTTCTTTGCTTTTTTCTTCGATTCTTTCTCTTCGATTTTTCTTTTTATTTCCTCCTTTTGTAACTTTTGGAGTTGTTCTTGTTCAGCAATTTTTTTTATTTGTTCCTCTAGCGTTCTTCTATCCTCTTCTTTATGTAATTTAGCTTTTTTCAATTCCTCTTGTTCATTTATTATCTTTAATCTTTGTGTGTCTACAATTTTTAAAATTTTTTCTTCTTGTGCTTCTCTCTCTCGTTCCTTCGTCAAATTTGGTTGTATCGTTTTTTCATTTTGAAGATGTTCTTTTTCTACTATTTTTTTTAATTTTTCACCTTTCAGTTTTTTTTTCTTCTCTTCATACAACTCTGGAATCTGTACTTCTGCTGCTTTTCTTAGTTCTTCTTCTTCGGTTTTCTTTTCCAGCTCTTCACATAATTTTTGAGTACATTCTTGTTCGATTGAATCTATCAATTTTTCTTCTTCGATTCTTTTTGTCTTTTCCTCTTCACATAACTGTCGGAGTCGGACTTCTTCGGCTGCTTCCTTTAACTTTTCATCCTCGCTCTTTCGCTTTGTCTCCTCTTTAAGTAATTTTTGCTGTCGTTCTTTTTCCATTACTTCTCTTAGTTTTTTCTCTTCCAAACTTCGCTTTTCCTTCTCTTCCAATAATTTTTTCTGTCGTTCTTTTTCTGCTTCTTGTTTAAGATTTTCCTCTAGCATCTTTCGCTTTTCCTCTATCTTTTGTAATTTTTGCAATTTTTCTTGTTCTGCTATTTGTCTTAATTTGTTCTCTTTGATCTCTCGCTTTTTTTCCTCCTCTTGTAATTTTTGTAATCGTTCTTTTTCAGTTGCCTTTTTCTGCCGTTCCTCTTCGGTTCTTTGCTTTTCCTCTTCCTCTTGTAACTTTCGAAGTTGTTCTAGTTCCACAACTTTTTTCAGATTTTTTTCCTCGATCTTTCGTTTTTCCTCTTCCTCTTGTAATTTTTTGAGACGTGCTTGTTCGACTGCCTTCACTTTTTCTTTCTCCTCTTCCAACTTTCGCATCCGTTCTTGTTCTACTGCATTTTTTAGTTGTTCATCATTGATCTTTTTCTTTTCTTCATCTTCACGTAGCTTTCCGAGTTGTTTTTCTTGTGCTGATTTTTTTAATTTTTCCTCTTCGATTTTTCTCTTCTCGTCTTCTTCGCGTAATTTTTGTGGTTGTTTTTGTTCCATGATATTTTTTAGCTTTTCCTGTTCAAGTTTTTTTTTCTCCTCTTCCTCTCGTAACTTTTGAAGTCGTTTTTGTTCCGTAGCTTTTTTTAGCTTTCCCTCCTCAAGTCTTCTTTTTTCTTCCTCTTCTTCTTGCAACTTTTTAAGTTTTTCTTGTTTTCCAGATTCTTTTGATTTTTCTTCTTCTGTCCTTTTCCTTTCCTGCTCTATTTGTAATTTTTGTAATCGTTCTTTTTCTGCGGTCTTTTTTAATTTTTCCTCTTTGATTTTTCTTTTCTCCTCTTCTTGTATCTTCCAAAGTCGTTCGTGTTCAGTATCTTTTTGAATATTTGTTTCTTCGTTTCTTTTTTGCTCCTCTTCTTCTTGTACGTTTTGAAGCCGTTCTTGTTTTGCAACTTTCTTAATTTTTTCTTCTTCAATCAGTTTTTTCTTCTTTTCTTTTTGTAACTTTAGCAACCGTTCTTTGTCTACAGCTTTATTTAATTTTAATTCTTTAATCTTTTTCTTGTCCTCTTCTTCTTGTATTTTTTGTAGTTGTTCTTTCTCTGCTATCTTTTTTAATCTTTCTCCTTCTTGTACTTTTCGGAGTCTTTCTTTTTCTACAGCTTTCTTCAATTTTTCCTCTTGAAGCTGTCTGCTTTTTTCTTCTTGTATATTCTTAAGTCTTTTTTTGTCTTCTATTATATTTGGCTTTGTTCTATGTGAAATTGACAACCTCTCTAAAACAACTAATAAAATAACAAATAGATTATTATATTAGTATGAGAAATCCATCTCATATTACAGATATATGATTGACATGGTTGTAATATACCTATAGGTGTGTATAAATGGTTCAAATATTCTTCTCTAAATGTTAATTTGTTCATAATGTTGAAACCATCTAAAAAGACATTAAAATTGTTATTTAATTTCAGATAAACTCATCAAATTATTACGAAATTAAGTGAAATTAAATGATATTTACATGATTTTAAATGTACTTTCTTTTCTTTCTGAGCTTTTGTTTTTGCAACATAATTCTTGTTAATAGTCTTAATAGCTAAAGGGTTATGATTAATTCTTCTTAGATTATCTGATACTGTAACATTATGCATAGATTTTATTGTTTCAGATATTTTTAAATAATTTCTAAAGTTGTACCATGATCATTACCTGGTTGAGCTTGATTATTTTTACATGTTTTAAGTCTCTTTTTTCTTTTCTTTCGTTTATTTCTTAGCCTTGTGCAATAAAAATCCTTGTTGCTTTTGTGATTCAATATTTGATCTGAAAATAAATCAACAAATGAAAAATATATCAATATTGAGCTTCTTTCAACAACTTACTAACCTGAATCATTAGAAGCATTTGAGGATGAAGCATCTTCCTCAGCAACAGAATGATTTTGAAAGTTCAAAGGTAGTTTTTCTACAAGAACTATAAAAAAGAAGTAAATTCATTAGTTTAATAACATAGAGCATTACTGAGTAGCATACTCACCAATTGGCATAATCATGGTGCTATGGCCTAAAGTCATTTTTTTATGTTAATCTGATTGTCAAAATGTTGTATTTTCCATATGATTCGTTGTTGATAAGACTATTTAACTAAGTGTAACAATTATTACTGTTGTTAATTTCACAAAAATATATATTAAGGTATTTAAATATAACCTATAAACTGAAAAATAATTATCATACACATATCCTTTTCATTTAGTTCGATTTGAGAATTTCGGAAAACTCAAATATGTTAACCAATTACAAACTGTATTAACAACTTTTTTTTTTTAGATGAGCCCTAATTGTGAGTAATTGAAGAATCTTAATGGACGTAAATACACTCTTTTGCTATCAGCTGTCCCTATATATCTACAAGGATGAAGGAAGACTGTATGGACTAGATATGGAGATTGGGGACTGGGGAGTTACTGGTGTCCGTGGTGGCGACGTATGTATATAATATATACGTACAAATAAGAGATATTTTACGGCTATCTTGTAAATTTTCAAAAGTTTTAATTATTATATTACATACTTAAATAAATGAAAATAAATATAAAATTATTTAAATAAAAAAACAGTCAATGTATTATAAGCATTTATTTAACGTATTATTCAAATGGTTATTTAATTTTACATTTAAATACTAGAGTATTATAAATTCAAAATATTTATAGTTGACTGTAACAATACAAAGTATTGTAAAATCACATTTTTATCACTGTTGCATTATTTTTTTGTATATATCAGTAAGAGTTATCTAGAATTATAATTTCATTTAAATTAAGTTGAATATTACATTTTTTTTATCTTAATTTTCTACTTTAATACCAACATTTATATTTAAATGCATTTTAGTCTCTTCTAATACTGAATTATTTTCCATATCCATAATATGTCCATAATATGTTCCATAATATTTCATTATTTCTAACTAGTAGATCTTTAAATATGAAATCTGGAAACCAATTACCACTACTCAAATCCTTCTTGTTTACAGATTTTTCGATTGTTTTATTAGTTTTTAGTTTTTGATGCTTTTCTAATTAACCTACTGTTCTTTTCGATTGATATGGCTATTTTTATTTTGTTACATTTTTTTTTTATATGATAATATGCTGTCATATATTTTTTGAAGGATTTTTTGCAAAATTTACACTGTACTTGTACAATTGATTTGCATTTTGGACAATTGTTATTATTACTTATTCTTAGATGTTCATATGTTTTATTGCAATCAATGCAGTATGGAGTAATGTAACGTGATTTAAGTTTATTACTGCTTTCAATATTTATATGTTTTTGTGGTGTATTTTCTTGCTTTCTTTGTTTTACCTTTTCTAGAATAAGATTAGACAAATTAAACAAATTTATTTGAAATTGTTAGAAAAAAATTTAATATTATTTTTTATTCATATGTACCTTCTAATTGATTATTTCTGTTGTCTTCAATTTTTTTAATCAACTCAAAAATTTGAGAATCAGTCTTTTCATGAGCAACCAAGAGGTGTAATCTTATTTCTTCTCTAGCTAAATATTTTTCAGTACATAAAGTGCATTTGAAATAAATCTTTTTACGACAGCTATATTCATGTTTCCTCCAATAGCTATTAGTAGTAATAATCAATTTGCAATCAGGACACTGAGCTTTTTTGTTACGTGGTTTCTTTGCCTCAGCTTCTTTTTGTAAATGTTTGTGACGTATATGAGTAGAAAGTGCTCGTTTTTTCTTATGTTTGAAAGAACATTCATGACATTCAAAAATCAGTTTTTTTGTAACATGATTCTCTGTATGATAAATTGCACCGCAATATGTTGTATAATTTCTATTACAAGTTTGACACTTAAATACGGATGATGCATCACATGTCTTACACCAGAAATTTCCATTTTCTACTGGATATGTTTCATCACAAATAGGACAGCATGACTTGATTCTTTTGAACTTACCTGTTAAAATATAAAACAATGAGAAATGTCTAGTTTAGAATTAATATAATATTTTTTTCTTTTTTTTAACGTCGCTCTATTTATGCTCCATCAGTGCTAATTAGCGACGGAGGCTTGCAATGTGTTTGAGAACAAAGCGCGTGAAATTTTATTCAGTGATGCTTGTATCAATCAGCAGGAACTGGGAATCGAACCCGGGCCTACCACGTACAAGTCCGTCGCCCTGCCGACCGAGCCATTACAGGCCTTATAATTATGATATAACACAATAATTGACAATTACCATTAATCGATTTTTTCCTTGCTATTTTTACCACTGATACCAATTTTTGTGCTCTGTCCCATACATTATTTGAACACTGATTTCTTTCCATCATTGTTGCTAATGCGTAAGAATCATTTTTTAAAAATAATGGCACTTGTATTTCAGGACAAAATTCTTTTATTTTCAAATGATTAAAATATTCATGTTTTGAAGAGAGTAAATCTCGACATCTCAAACATTCGTATTGAAATATATTCTGGCAATCTTTGCATCTATTACTTGAATCATTAGGTTGTTTTAATTTTTTACAAGTTAAACAAACCACATGATAATATCTTCTATTTCCTGAACAAGTAAAATATATATAAATATCATTTTTGATCAATTTAAATAAATTATATGTGCAATACTAACTAGTTGCAATTTGCTCTTCAGAATCTAGTTCGATAACTTCTTTCATTTCAGTAAAATTATTGCCTGTATTAATAATATGCTTATCTTTTGTGTTTAATGTGTGTTCAATTAAATTGTCTTTCTTTATATTGCTTATTTGTATCGCAGTTTTATTTTGAATTGGTTTTAAGTTTTGCAATTTTAAAATCACTGGAATTGGTGTATTTTTTAACTTCAGAACAGATAGATTATAACACTGTTCTAAAGTAATTTCTATTGGATCATGTGTAGATAAGGTTTCAGCTTGTAACTGAGTATTTTGTTCTATAAAAAATGTATTATCTGAACCATGAATTTTTTTCTTATTTTTTTGAGAAACAAGAATTCCATTCTCTTTTTTAATAGATTTGTTTTCTTTTATTTGACTGTATGAAGTATCCAAATAAGTATTTTGATCTATGTTTTCTTCTATTAAGTCAGGAATAATAACTTCTTCTTTAACAATGTTATTTTCTATAACGAAAAAATACTTTAATGAAATATAAATGAACATATTAAAAATACAACAATTTCTAAATTACTCACGTGTACAATTAAAAACAACCTCGTTTACATGTAGATCATTCCTTTTGTTTGAAGGAATCAAACTGAAATTTCTTCTTTTTTTGAATAATTGATTTGGATTTATACAGTAATTATGATCTAGAAATTCAAACAATCTAAATGATAGAAAATCAACATATTGTAAATAATTTCTAAAAAATTAAATATTGCTTATAAATCTACAAACCTACGTCATCTTCATCATTTGAAGGAGCTACTTTATTAACTTCTTTTACATTTGGAAGAGCTATCAACATATATGGAATTATTACAATTAAAATAATCTAATTAAAATTCTGTCAAACAAATAATTGGTGCATAAAATAAATACCTTTTGGTAATACTGGAATGTCATTTTTGGATTCTGTCATCTTTCAAATCAAACTATTATGTAAAAAAACTTTTTTACATAATATTTTTATTTTTATCTCATCTTTTATCTAATTACAAATAAATTTATATGAAAAACTGTTTTATATATTAATTTTATAAAGAAATAACCTTACATCACGGTACAGATTCGATTAAGTATTCAAACTACAACTCAAGACAGCAGTTTTTTTCAGGTTATATAATTTTCTAAACAATATAATCATGTTCACATCTATTAGTTTTTAAAAAATAGTGAATATTACCATTTACAAATTTAGATTCTTTCTTTACAACTCGAGATTAAATATCTGCAAAAATGCGAGACGACCCTGGCAAAAAAGTGATTGATTTGAAAAAAAAAAATATATCATTAGCTTCGTCTTAATTTGTACCACCCGAAAATTGCTTTTTTTGAATTTGTACCCTCCCCCAAAATTTTGAAAAAAAGTGAAAAAAACGATATTTCGGAAAACTCATACTCCTGGCAGAAAAATGATTGATATCTTAAAAGAAAAAAATACCACTAGTTTCATTTTAATTTGTACCATCAGAAAAATATTTTCTTGGAATTTGCACCCTCTCTAAACATAGAGAAAAAAACATTTTCGTAGGGTAGATTAGCAATTCAAATTAACGTATTACTGCGCATGCGCGGCGGAAAATCTATCTTCCAACAGAAAAATATGCGATTTAAAAAAAATATATATATGAATGCCTTCTTCTGAATTTGTACCATCTAAAAAAATACATAAAACTAATTTGTATCCCTGTAGAATTTGAATAATACAATGTTTTTTGTGCGATTGTAATACTGATAAATTTTACAGGACAATCTTTTATTTTTTAAGAAAAAAATATATTTCTAGCTTTACTTTAAATTTTACCAACTGAAAATAGTTTTATTGTAATTTTAGAGTGTAAAAATTACAAGAAAACTATTTTCAGTTGGTAAAATTTAAGGTAAAGCTATATTTTTTTCTTAAGAAATAAAAGATTTTCCTATAAAATTTATCAGTATTACACACTATCGCACAAAAAACATTGTATTATTTAAATTCTACAGGGATACAAATTAATTTTATGTATTTTTTTAGATGGTACAAATTAAGAAGAAGGCATTCATATATATATTTTTTTAAATCGTATATTTTTCTGTTGGAAGATAGATTTTCCTCCGCGCATGCGCAGTAATACGTTAATTTGAATTGCTAATCTACCCTACGAAAATGTTTTTTTCTCTATGTTTAGAGAGGGTACAAATTCCAAAAAAACATTTTTCTGATGGTACAAATTAAAATGAAACTAGTGGTATTTTTTTCTTTTAAGATATCAATCATTTTTGTGCCAGGAGTATGAGTTTTCCGAAATATCGTTTTTTTTTTCATTTTTTTTCAAAATTTGTGGGGGAGGGGGGTACAAATTCAAAAAAAGCAATTTTCGGGTGGTACAAATTAAGACGAAGCTAATGATATATTTTTTTTTAAATCAATCATTTTTCTGCCAGGGTCGTTTCGATTGAGCAGAACCTATGCCCCCCTGGCCATTCGAGTAGAGCAGAAGGAAAAAGCCAATATCATGTTACAATCACAAGCAGTAGTTGCTTGTAGGTTATAACTTTGTAAGTTTGTTCTTTTTTTCTAAACTTATAAAACTCTTTTTTATCTATTCTCTGTAAGTAATTAATTATTTTTCGTGTATAGCTGATTATCAAAAAGTTCAAGGTTAGTCAAGAAACGATAGCAAAAACAACTCAGCTTTCGTCAAGATTCTAATTCTCACTGAAAAGTCGTGATTCAACAAATATGGCGAGTTCCTGGCTACTCTCCGTCTCTGTTGTGTTCGTTCAATTGATCGTCGTGCGGTCGGGAAATGTTGTTCCTATGCTACTTTGGTCTGGAGACGCATCCCATGACCTCATTAATCCTCTGCACAAAACTTCAAGGACAGAATTTGAGAAGGTTCTGACTGAGCGAGTGGCTAAGACTCAACCACCTATAATGGTCTTCGTCAAAGAGAATTTCTGTGTTGAGGAAATTAAGTATCACAAAGAGGTTTGTAATAATATACTATTTATTTATCTTTTATTGATGAACTTGTCTTGAAATCAATGTTTGCAATCAAACATTTTTTATATTGTGAAATTGTGTTTTGAAAGAATGACTAAAAAGCATTGAAATATTTATTTAATATTATTAACAGTATTATACAGAATATGCATTTCATCAAAAACAATTCAATTTTCAAAACAATTTTACTCAAAGGAAGTATGTCAGTTTGAACAATTTATTAGAGTTCAAATAATATAGAATGTAACAGTGCTGAGGAAAATCAATAGCTCTAGTTCAATTCTGTAAAAGTATATTTTCCAAAAGAATTTGTTGTTTCCTAGCTTTTTCTCAAGATTCCTATTTGTACTATTTTAAGTTTAGTTATAATTTATTCATACAACCTAAAATTTAATTAGTGGCTGGAATAGTAATTGAATTAAACTATTAAAAGTTTACATAAACTTCTAAAATCTATGTAAATTGTAAATTATAAAATTGTAAATTATAAAAAAATCACTATCCAATAGTAGGTATACTCTATTGCCTATAAATTTCATGATAATAATAGTACTATACATATTTTATACTTAATTAAAAAAAATTTTCTTATGTAATGTACTTAATCAACTTCATGTGAAACAACAAGTGAAAAGTAATTTTAATGATGTCAAACATCAAGGCCTAATTCCACTAATTGTAGTTGAAAGTCTATCAATTCTCTATCATTTGCCATCTTATAGACTGCAATAATGTAAAGGTTAGATAGGCGTTCATTAAATGTGGTACGTTCGGCGCTACAGTTTTAAACAACAGTCACTTTTGCTCACTACCGGTAGTGTTGGTACTAAATAATCGAACTAGATATTTTTAGTAATGTTACTAGAGTTGCGATTCGCGTCCGTATCCGTCCGCATCCGTACGTACCTATGGGACCGGGCCGACCGGGGCCTTAGGCACCAATGCGAAAACAGCCCAACACAAATAACATTTTATAAAAAAAAATGATCACATCTCACGTATGTCTAATTGTACTTCTCGAAAAAATAATTATTTGTTATTGTACCATTATATTTCTCATAAAAAATAAAAAATATCGTTATCGATAATTCACCTCCTATTTATTCGCATAAAAGACATAATTAAGCAAAAATAAATTCACAGAAAAATTGTACCTTCTGTAGTCTAAATTGTACCATCAGTACAATTCTATAAATTTGTTTCTAAAAGAAATAATAGGACAATTACAAATTACCACTAATTGTTACAACGTACAAGGATGTCATCCGGAAATGCACTTTGCGCAGACGTAGAGCTTTGTAATTGTCCTATTATTTCTTTTAGAAACAAATTTATAGAACTGTACTGATGGTACAATTTAGACTACATAAGGTACAATTTTTCTGTGAATTTATTTTTGCTTAATTATGTCTTTTATGCGAATAAATAGGAGGTGAATTATCGATAACGATATTTTTTCTGAGAAATATAATGGTACAATAACAAATAATTATTTTTTCGAGAAGTACAATTATACATACGTGAGATGTGATCATTTTTTTTTAAAATGTTATTTGTGTCGGGCTGTTTTCGCATTGGTGCCTTAGGCATATAAAAATTCTCCAAAATGCTCACTACACTCAGGCCATCACATGACTCACGTGACTTACGACACGAGATGCGCAGAATCAATGTGAAAAGCGCGGCAAGTCAAATTTAAATGCTTTGTCTTCTCTCATTACATGAATATTGTTTCGTCGATAGTGATAGTGGAGAAAACAATATAGTCTAAATTAAGAATTTATCTTACGTGCTTGAATGTTTGATTGATCATTTAGTCCACTTGTTATTACAGAGCTTGCAACAACTGAACAATGCTAGATCACTGACTTATTTAGCATAAGTGGAATCGGTTATATCGACTTTTGAAAACCTACCAAATTACAACGTAACTGTGGAAGACGATTTTGAAACAGTCGTCGATGGTTAATTGGTAGAAGTACCGATCAACGATATCGATGCCATTCCCGACGTGTACAATGTGATTTTAGAATCCAGTCCAAATCTTGTAATCGCTTTAACTGGAAAATCCTGCAGCTATTCATCTTCGGAACGTATCAAGAGAGCAGCAGACGACCCAAAAGCAGATTCGGATTCGTGGATCGTAGCTACAGACGGAAAAATTCTGCTGTATGCCGAAAAGAAGCCTATGTTGAAGGTCTGTCGATATAATCAACAAATACATTTCTAAAGTAGAAATATAAAATGTCATTTCATTTTTTTTCTTTTACAGATTAACGGTATGGAATATGAGTTGAAGACGTTGCTAAGTTCGTCAATAAAGAAACTTGAGAAGAACCGCACAGAAGTGCAAATGAATTTTGCGTTAGATAAATTGGGAACTGTAGTTTTGGTAGCTGATTTCAATGTTTTGAACGGATACGTTAAGTTAGTAGATATTACTTATGCCGTAGAAAACAAATCAGATAATCCAATAGTCCTGAAGAGTAAAACTAATATCGAATTCCCAACTACTAATTTCTCGTACCACTACAGCAACAGTATTCTCTTTTCTTACGTATATTCAGATCCAGATAAAAAAGTTTTGAATATGATCGTGTTGAACCTCACTGATATACAAGTACAACTAAATACAACTGTTTTTGGTGACGCTTACGATTGCGTTGGTTTCACGACGGTACCCGTTTGGATGAGACTTTTTGTTACGTTTATTTTAGGACTTATTATGACATGGAGTATATGGATGATTATGGACATTCGCACAATGGATCGCTTCGATGATCCTAAAGGAAAAACTATAACCGTTACTGCTCAGGAGTGAGATATTTGACAGTTTGAAATGACGGTACTTTGTTTTGTTAACTACGTTTCAATTAGAAGCTTTTAACTGTCACAAAAACGCATATAATTTTGTTCTCTCTGAAAGATCGCTCACTGACGTTCAGATTCAAGAATGTAATACCCAATAACTGTTGACGTACGTAATTTGTATATTAGCGTGTATAGATGTGTATATGATTATTACTGTATTTTTTCATTTGATACCACATGAAAATTCATATCAAAGTATTGTTACATCGGCATTCTATAAAAAAATGGTATTCTGATCTTCAAACAAGTAGAAATGTACATTGAACCTTTTGTACATTCATCGTTCCGAATATAATGTGTATGTATGCAGTTGATAGATGTTTTTGTAATTGTTTATATTACCTACTACTCATTGTTGAATATAATAGTTTATTTTGTTTTATAAATTCATCGATTTTGGGTTAGTTGGGTTCCAAAGGTGTGCCTAATAATAATAAACGCATTTTTCGCGATTGCAATGTACAGAAAAGTGTATTTCCACTTAACTACTGCGCAAGTTTGCCATACGTGTGTTTAACGGTGAAATTATCGCTAAGTTTGAAATAGATTTTTTTTTGGAAAATATAATGTTAACGATAATGAGAATGTGTAACAAATTACTTGAATATGGTAATAAAAACGAATTGGACTGTTTTTCTGGGCGAAAAATGTTTGTACTGATTTTTATTCATAGATTCGTTCAAAATTCGCATAATTAAGATTTTTAAATAACCGCCAGTATAGGAATTCATGTTCAAGCATAATCTTACCACATTCCAATAGTTGTAACAATTTTGTCACACGTGAAATCAGTATAAATTTCTTTCATCAAGAAAAAAAACGAGATAAATTGTACAAAATATTGTAGTATCAAATGGATCACTTTACTCAGGATATATCCTTATTCAATATTGATAAATTATTTGTGATTATTCAACAGTTATAAAAAATACTACTGTACAGTTATTGTACATGGTATAATGTTATATTATTCTCTACATCGAGATACGTCGTATCGATGAAAAATAAATGATTTGAAGTAACCTACGCAATTATTATTTTTATTTTTCCTCAAACAAACACTTATTCGCGTTCGAAAAATCAAAATCATTAAGTAGATTCATCAAAAGAATGTTTTCCAAAAAGACCACATAAACCTTGTTACACATGCAAAAGAAAAAAGTACATATTACAAAGCGTGATCTGACTGCTCGATAAGAACCAAACACTTCCATTGAAATTTCGCGTAGCACCGGAAAAACGATTTTCACGATTACCGAGTAAAAAAGCCAGACGGGCTAGTCGCATGTCGATGGGATTTTAAAGTAGTCGACGAGGCTTGCAATTTTGCGTTTAAAAAAAATATTCGCATTAGCCTAAATGCCACCTAAGATAAATTGTTTTTCCTCGCCAAGATTAATAATGGCACGCGATCGCGCGAATTTTCACCTTGAGGATGATTCTTCGATCGCGTATCTCGAAGATGGTTTCGAAAGCAAAACAAAACTCTCCGAGTATGCAAATCGTTGTGCCGGCGCGTGCAACGGCTATATACGTCTGGAATACACAAAACACGGGCGCTCGCGCGCGCACACAAACACGTACACACAATGTGTGTCGTAAAAGTAGACGATGGAAGAAATAAAAAGGACGAGCGTGATAATTTATGCGACTCGTGCTTCGGCATCAGTTTTTTTGGTACCTCGTTTGGCTGCTGGTTTTCGTTCGAGTCATTCGGTTTGGAAAGTGCGAATACAGGGCAAAAAGGCAGGATTACATATGCAGCCAGGAAGTCCGAGTGTCCGCGAGGAATCGGCGATACGTTTTAACGAAAAAGAATTTCTTTTAACTTTACCATTGATAAATTCAAGCTTATGTTGATCGTCAATCGGTTCACTGACGTAACTTACGTTACATCGCCCTGACCAGCCGAAAAAAAAACAAAGAAGTAACCTGATCGATCGCGCGCTCGAAAAGATCACCTTGACCCCGTGACGTCGTGCGGAGCAACGTCATTATATATATATAAGAAAAAAAAACGGCAGCAGATCGCGTGCTGCTACACGCCGCTTATCTTGATGGACGCAAAAAGCGCTCTTGCACAGGGGTTGCTGCTGAAGTGTGCGCTATCGCAGGCTGACCCTTGATGTTTTTCTTCTCCTCTTGCAGGAGAGTGGTAAAGTGGGACTACGTGTGCTTCGATCGATTTCGCCGCCGCTCGGAGGAATCTCCTCCTGCGTTACGAGGCCGGAGAACGATTCCAGCGAATTCCCTCGCGGAAAAGGACAAACAACGATAACAAATTGCAAGTCACGTCACTTCATATCGAATGGATGTTTACAATCGGTGTGCTAAGAAAGAAAAAAAAAGAGCTGATTATTCGAGAGGACAGCAACAGCGATGATTCACTGCGCAACTAGGCACGGGGAATTCCCGTGTCGCGCGTTAACCACCTGTTCGACGTTGCGATCTTTCAAGTCGAATTAGTCAAGGACAGTGGTATTTTCGGGAGGGGGGGTCTGCCCAATCGAACCTTCGCGCACTGGAGACAAAGGAATGTTCTACGTTAAAACAGTCACTGGGTTCTGAAGTAAAGGAGACTTTAATTTTCGGAGGTGTACGCGCGATTACAGAAACAAACAAGCAACAGCATGCCGATCAAGATCCGAACGCCTGGAAAATTGCCCCGAGACGATGTCTGATTAAGAAATCGCCGTTACGATCGCTACGATCGCCAGCAGCAGCCTCGTGTCAAATAACAGTCCGGCCGACGAGTTTTCTGAAACGAAAAAAGAAAAGAAGAAAATAAATAAATGAGATAAAATATGTTGAACGAGTTTCGGGCGAGCCAATGTGACTTCGACGAGCGAATCCGAGAAAAACAATAAATAATACGATGATTTGTTGTCTTTCTTCCGTCGGCTGTACATAATCGCTCGCGTAATTGCGACAAGCAGAAGTTTAAATTGCGGAGTAAAGGAAAAAAGCGTGGCAACGATCTTTTTTTTAGTTTGTTTATCTTCCTTCGTCAACTCACTCGATCTGCAATCTTCGCCAACTTGAACGAAATCAACATCACACGAGCAAACGCTATTCTTGCAAACGCCTGTCGACGATGTAGTAAAGCATTCCCTTTCGCTCTTGCAGTCTTGTCCTAACTCTGAAAACAAAAATAGAAGTCGTCGACCGTGTCGCATGAACCAGTTGGCTGTAGCCGCCGTTATCTCACTTCTTTTTCTGTAGCAAGCCTCGGTGTTGAAATAGTGATCGCCGATACAATCGCAACGTCCACTGGCGTCTTCATCATTGTTGCCGTCATAATCTCGGCTCGCTGTGGCGTTGCAGAATGTATTCTCGACCGCGGCCGAGCACTGCACGTCCTCGGTGCAAGCTTCCTTGTAATGCGACTCTTAAACGACGAAATAAAAACGAAAGATATGAACTCGACGGTTTTAAAAAGCGGTAGTTTGCTTTGAGATTTGTACTTTTGATGCACTCGTTGCCCGAGCCGACGGTGAAATCCGAAGTGCATCGGCACGTTTTCGCATTGTCGACTGTCAAACACGCAGTATTTTCCAGCTTGCACTCGTCGTCATTTTCGCATGCGGCGTTCAAGCCTGAAAGAGAGCAGAATACCTTTCGATGTGCCTGTATAACAGCGATGGTAAATTTAAAAAACGAAAAGAAGAAATTGGAATGCTTTACCTTTGACGCACTGTTGCTCGCGTTGGAAAAACGTTTTCGAGCACGCGCATTTATTATTTTCACAACTGGCATTTGGTATTGCTTTGCACTCTTCGGTCTTTTCGCAGTAAGATCCAAACACTGCAAGACGTAAAATATTCTGCTCAGAATCACTTCTTGATGAATGTAACGAAGTTTCATTGTGCGTCAATGATCATTATTGGAGATAAAAAAAAACTTATAGAACCATTAATATTACTAACCTGGCTTACTACTGTAACAATATCCACCGTCGTCGCTTGCAACGGAGCCCTTTGGACAAGTACAAATGCCCGAAGTACACTTTGGAATGTAATCATCTCCTCTAGAGTAACATTCATAATCATTCTTACAGCCTTGCTTGATTTTACTGTACTTCCAGCAAAATTTTTCCTTGGCCACCCAGTGACTGGCCTCGTCGCACGTGCATTTCCCGTCCGCACATTTGGCCCGAGGCCCGAACAAATAACAGACCTCCGGATGGATACACTTAGCGCCAATTGTTTTGGCGACTGAAAATCAGCGATTCTCTCATTTTGAAAATATCATTTTCGGATCCCATCAATTTGAAAAGAAAGTGTCGTTACATTTTCGGCACAGCCGGTTATCTTTGAGAGCAGCTCGGTCGATGTCGCACGTCCACGCGCCGTTCTTGCAGGTCGAGAATCCGACGCTAAAGTTCGATTTCGCTTGCTCGGCACTGCAGGACGTGCCGATCTCTGCGGGAACGTCGTGAGCGTTGTGAACGTTCGAACGTTGCGCGCTGGCTTTCGCATCGCCTAGTTGCGTCGTCGATGCGATCGGACTTACCGGGAACGCAGCCGTCGACAGGGCCGCCACGCGCGGTTTGGTCTCTGATGGCGAAGTAGCCGCGATCGCAGACGCAGGTGTTGTTGGCCGCGCACACGGAGTGATCCAGCAGCTTGCAATCGAGGTCGGCCTTGCATTGGCTCTCGCCGACGACAATGCCGCCCGACAAACGGACTCGTGCCACGAACGGAAGCTCCGCGTCGTCCTCGCGCGTCCTGTGCGTCGCAACCATTGCCTCGCCGCCCCCGTCCTGGCTGTCCACGCGAGGGCTTCCGTTGTCCAAGGTGCACACGTTCGACGTGCAGATGGCGTTCTCAATGAAAGCGCAATCGGAGTCGAGCGCGCACTCATCGCCGATGTTTTTGGCAGCCGGTCGGCAGGTGGTGTACTCGCGCTGGTAGAAGCCCTCGCTGCACTTGCATTTTCCGTCTCGACACGAGGCCGCCTGGTAATCCGCGTTCACGAAGCATTCCTCGTCGCGATCGCACGGCTCGTCCAGTCCTGCGGACACGAGCGAGCGAGCGTCTGAACTTGGACGGACGGGACACGCTCGCGTGAGTCGTCGCCGCCGTCGTCGTCGTCGTCGTCGTCGTCGTCGCGCGGCAACGAACAACGCCGTCTCGGCATGTTTTCTCAGACGGGCGCGCCGGACGGCTATTTACCTTTGGTCTCGAAACATCGCCCATGCAGGTAATGATAGTTTTCTGTGCAGACGCATTGCTCGTTGGGACGATCGCACGTGCCGCCTGCGTCGAGAAATGCCGAGCACTGGACGCTTTCTTCACACGTGTCGTAGTAGCCGTTCGCCACTGAAAGTTGCAATTGTGCGAATTTTTTTTGTCTATCTTCCTTCCGATTTTCTGCTAAATTTTGCTTTACCTTTTAAGCATCTGGTCAGTGAACCGTCTCTAATGTAACCTGAGCGACACTCGCATAACCCTTGTTTACTGCAATTCGAATTTTCTACATGGCAGTCAGCAGCGGATTTACAAATCGAGCTTAGTCCACGGAATGGTATTTCTGTATGTGAAATTCATTGTTGGTCATTGATTATAGCCGAAGAGCTTGGAATTTTTACTTAAAATTGTATACAGCATTTCGAAGTGTTATCTCAGTCATACACACGATACGACGAAAATAACTTTACTTTTTATTACTAAGCGGTTGTTAAAATGCATATCATCCATTTTTATGCCCAAATGCATCGCAATCACACATCAATATTAGCAAGGAGCAACGTTGAGGCATCGCAAGAAAAATATACATAACTTTCACTCCTCTTTCACCCGAACATTTAGTAAGAAAGAAACAAACAATGGAACGGCTTTTTTTCACGCTATCATTTTTTTTAAATTAATCGTTCAATTCACTTTTCTCGGCAATTAAATGAAACACGAGCAAAAATCACGCGTTAGCACTCGTTCCTTTCGACACTCTCAGTTATAGAAACTTATCCAACTTCATGCTCAGCGCTCGTAAGAAATTTGCAGATTAAGGGCGCGCGTGAGATCGCGCAACTGGAAATAGGCACGGAACGAACCTCGGATAGTTTCTAAATTCGTAAACTCGGTCGCGCGCGCCGACGAATTTTTTGCACTCGTACCGTATGAAAACGCCGAGGTGGCGACGGCCAGCAAGCAGATGGTCGTGATCATCGTGCCTTCGTTTTTCGGAGAACGACTCGACGACTGATCGGTTTTTATCGCAATGGCCGCTGGCATATCGAGGGCCGTTATCGACTTTACTGTACATTCTTAGATCCATTATCGCGTCGTACACCTGCATCGCGCAAAAAGTCTTGAGTATCTAATCGATAATTACTGTCCCGTCAACGACCGCGCATCGGCTAGCTCAAAAAAAAAAGAAGAAAAACGAAGAAAACGTGCCCGACAAATAATTTTACAAATGAGCGAACTACAGGAAAGAGGGAATGAGTCTTCGCGCGCGTTATGCAATTGAACGTGATATAATAATGTGCGGGATGACCGTTATCCAAGCGTGAATGTTGCAAGCCAACGCATGCCAGCTTTTAAATGCGCAACACGTCGTATTATTTTTCAGTTCGAACGTTCGAAAAGCGATCGAACCCTGGAAATAATCGAATATGTTTCTCATCCGTTGGCGAAACTTATCATCGGCTATTATCGGCTTTTATTCAATCCATAAGCCGAGAGAACTTTTTGATGGTCTGCTTTCCTCAAATCAATAATACTTTCGGCGATAGAAAACTATGGTCTCTTTCTGTCCAGTTTCCATTGAGACGCTTTCTTGGAACACGAAACGACGGCGAATAAGATAAGATATAACTTAGAGACGCATGGCGCAGCATTTTCTGGCTGATAAAAAAAAATCGTTACCTTGCAACACAAGTATGCGCGCTCACGCGAATGCCCACACGAGTTCCTGGTGAATGCAATCGAAGCGGAGATGAGAAAAATAAATTTAGCAGTTAATAAAAAAATCCAGCGAACATCATTTAAACATTCAAAAATTTCCGATAAGAAAAAAAAACAAAAAAAAGACGTTCAGTCGAAAGTGTATATATACAAGACGCGAAAGGAGGAGTCGAGGAGAATGGTGAAAGTCCTGCGGACTCGTCGTCGACTCGTTGAAAATCACCGCCGCTGTGTAGTGGAATCGACTTCCTTATTAAGATAAAATTGTATAGTTATAATTTAATAATAAATTCCTATTATAATTGCACCTGTAACGTTGAAGCTGAGGATTAGAAGGTTGGTGTCTACATTCAACTTTTACTGCGTATCTACCTTAGTCCCTGGCAAAAAAAAATAAACGTTCTCTTTCACGAATGACTGTCTATTGTTTGTGTAACGGTTTTTATGATTGGTTCTTTATGCAACGACGTTACCGTGGCTTGAGCGTCGCATTAAAAAATGAATTATCGGAATATTAATTTTACCTTAAAAAGATTTAAATGCAATTCTGGCCGATCGACACCCAAAGACACAAAGTTCAAGTGTCACGTAACGAAGAGAACCGCATTGCCCAACAAGAGCGACCTTTGGCAAAACCATAACAGCATAATAATCTATACTGTACAAACGAATTCGAAACGCGAGCGTCTCGATGATCCCATGCAAAGTGAAGAGCTTTCTATAAACGGTACATCGAAACGACGTAGCTGTGATGTTTAGTGATTTTCAGAGGGAGCGCTCTCTTCCGCCACGACCCTCGTTACTGATAACAGCGTGACCCGATGACGACTCCAATATAGACACTAGCCACGACAGCGAAGAAAACATCTGCGTTGCCCGACTGGAAGTTCAGTTCTGCTAAGCTGTAGCCAAGATGAAGGAGCAGTGGAAGAAGCTTGATAACGACGGTGAGCGAACATACGAGATTTCTTTCGCTTTTTATTGCGAGTGATTTATTCGATCAACGATATCGACTTTTGCGCTGCCAACGTGTGTTTCATCGATTAACCAATAATCTTGTTCTTTGAAAATTAGGCGATTGTACTCTGACACGCAATATGCAAGAGTCACAATTTTTTTTTATTTACTGGTACCGTTATTTTATGGGATTTTTTAGTTTTCATCAACGTCGAAGGTAGTTTTTCAAAAACACAATTGAATTTACTTTACTTGCTCAAATAAATGTTATTTGACAAATTAAACTGATTTTTTTAAGATAAATCATCCGATAGTCGAATAGAGTCTGTGAAAACCCGCATGATAATGATACAAGGATGATTCAATATTTATAAGGTCATGCGACTGAATTCATGATGCGATTCGAGAAAAAAAGTTCTTTGTATCGGTTAGTGTTAATTCAATCAACATTCTCAAAATAACTAAATACTTTGTTTTATGCGAAAAGATATATCTTACATAAAGTAAAATTATATTTAAATCATTCTTTTTTAAAAGCCATTCTGCGTATATTCGTCATTTCTCAATTACTTTTGTTTGAAAAAACTAATGCAACTAAAATAAATGTTATTACATACGAAATAAGCAATTTAAAATTGAATAAATAAAGTTGGCATGTATATTTTGTTTAAAATTGAATACATTGATTCAATCATATATAACAAAAACATGAAATTAAAAAATGTAGTAATTGTCATCAATACTTGACGCACTTCAAAACGTATAATACTGCTTTATTATGGAATACAATCATATGAATATATTTTCATTATCAAAAATACATATCATATTTACTCTTAAAAACACGAACTAGATTTCGCAAGTCAGAATGCGTGATCGTGAACACGTGTACATTGGCAGTTTATTTTTTTTTTTGCCATATGCATTCGATAAAGATATCTTAAACATAGCGAGCTAAATAAAACCCTTGACTATCAATTTCTTCTACAAAAAATTAACAATCGAAGTACAAGCAACAAGTAGACAGATAACTAATATTTTTTGGTTTTTTATTTTCACAGTTAAGCTTTTGGTAGACGTGGAGGAAGGCAATAAGCAGCCAATCAAAATCAACATACCGCTGTCAGCTTTAAAACCTCCGGGTGACGAATTTTACTGCAACAAGTTGCTCACGGTGCTAAGGGTATGCGTACTTTTGGCCTTGTTGATATTATTAGGATGGACAGCAACAACTCTATACTGTAATTACTACGATAAAGCTATTCCACTGGGCGAGGAGAATTTGGAGAATAAATTTGCTTTTCAGAGATTAGTTTATAAGAATAAAGATGTCTTTGAGGTGGACAATCAATTCGAAAAATCGGATTCTGAGGCTGAAGTATTTAGGGATTCGACGAAAAAAGTTCTAGATCAGATAGCTGTGGAAATGAAAGGTTTCAATCAAAGACTTGATCAATTGAAAGAAAAAAAACAGCCAATTATAGAAATCAAGACGGTACCGGATGATGTAAAATTAATTGAGGATGAGCTCGTTACTTCTGAGCGTTCTGATCAAACACTAGATTCGTTATTCGATGAATTAGCTAAAGAGGTAGGTCTTGCAGATAATCAACTACCTAATAAAGTTTACATAGAGAATAATCCAGAACTAGCTACTATTATAATCACTGAGCCACAAGATGGAGATTTTAATAGCTTACAAAACGATTTTGACCAGTTTAAATTGGGTCCTCTTCTTGAAAATTTAGATGTTAAACAAATTATAACAGCAAGTATACCTACAAACATTGGTGAAAGATCTGAAAAGTCTGGCTATCAAACCAAATTATTCCGTGATTTTTCATATGAACCTTCCCAACTCTTTAATGAGTTTTCGAAAGATAAATTAAATGCTGAATCCGAACTTAATGCTATGATCAGGAATAGAGATATTGTAGAAAATGATAACACAAATGACGAGATCCAGAAGGCATTTTCCAATATATTAGCTGAAATTGCAGCAGAAGCGGTTGCCAATGACGATGAGAGTAATAAAAAAGATCAAGAAGTGGATCAAGCTATACAAGCGATGATAAACAAAATAGATACAAGTAATCTGGACAGTGACAGTGAACAGAAGGAAGAAAAAGAGGATAAGGTTGATGATGGTGTAATAGAAGAACTAAATGAAAATGTGGAGGAAAGTTTTATGGATGGTTTAGTGAACGGTTTTGTTGACACTTTGTTTGGAGATTTAACAGAGGAGGATGCAAAAGAAGATGATTTACTTGAAAATTCCAATAATGGAAACGTTGAAGAAAGTCAAAATGAAGATAGAGTTGAAAAAGAAATGATTGAACAACGTGAGCAAGATGAAATAATCAGACGGATTATTAGTGAATCACTTGTAGATATGGTAATTCATGATATGACTGAAGATGAATCTAAGATGGAAAATAAATCTAATGAAGATGGATCTAAATCATCCCTGTTTGAGGAACTTGTCAAGCTTATGGTAAATGATAATGAGAACAAGAAAGATAATGCTTCAACTATTTCAGAAGAAAAGAATGAATACATTCCACCAACTACTGACTACATCTCTGTGCAAATTACTCATTCTGATCCAAGATTTTCCAGAATTTTTAATGAAGAAACAGCAAGCGATTTTCATCAGTTTTTTTCATCGAATGACTATATTGAAGAGCCCATCACATTTTCGGAAAACAACGAAATGAATATTAGCGAGCAAGCCTCGATTCAGGAAGATTTATCAACACAAAAAACTTTTATCGATATGGTACCAAGCGTTGAATATGTAAAAAAAATTGAAGAGAATCCTTTTATTCCCAGGGTAGCCAAAATGCTTGAACCACTTGTTGGACAAAATCATGAGCTGTTGACCTGGTATTACACTCAGAAAGATCTTCCATATTTTCTCAGAGGTGCTGACAAGTGGAAAATCTTTGGTGCCAAGTTACTGTACGACTCAAACATCAAAGATTATCCTGCCGATGCAACGATCGTTTCCGGACTTACTTTCGAGAAGGTATACGGTGGCGCTGAATATCCAAGTAACAGCGAGGAAATTAAATCTGACTTGCAGCAGGAAATTATCAACAGATTGATACTCAAGTCATACCTGAACAAAATGCTGTTGGAAGGCAACGCGGACGCTGAAACTCTTTCAGAGGTCATTGAGCAATACAATATGGAGAAGCTCAAGGAGCTTAACATTGATCTTCAACAGCTGACATATGTAGGTGATTTTTTTGAACTTGATAGCAAATACAACGATGGTCTTACAATTCCAATTGTTCAATTTGATCCATTTGTGGATGAATCAAGGGAGGCTAACGAACAACGAGCTAAAGTCATCAAAGCTTTTGAAATGACAAGGAATTCGGAAGACAACAAACTTCGCAATGGTTTTTTTGATTCAATAAGTTCAGAAAGGTCAGAACAAGAGCAGCAGTCCGAGTTATCATCAACCGTTATAGCCGAAGATGCCAAAGAAAATTCAAAGGATTCAAGACAACTATTTGAATTTGCAACGAGTGAAGCATTGCCAGAAACTTCTGAGACTTTAAATCATTCAAATGATTATGTGAGCGATGAATCGTCAGAAACTTTCAGGGGCTCGTTTGATCGGCAAGTTGGAAAAAGCGACGAGTCGTCAGAAACTTTCGATGATTGGTTAACCGAATTTGTACCAAAAGATGGCCTGTTCAGATTTCGTAGATCACTAGATTCTGCGTAAATGGAATGAATTAGTAAAGACGCAAATTTTACAATAATTGAAAAAAGTTGATCGAATTATAAAAGAAACAATCATCCTGGTTGTGAATTGTAGTTAACCAATTCCTGCTATCTCAAGAAATAAGTTTTTACTATTTATTATTCTAAAAATACAGTTTTCGATTCTATTGAATGTTTTTTTTCAAACAAATGAACAATCCAGAATAATAAACTATCGACTATTATTACAATAAAGCTGTACTATGGATCAATTAATGTAAAACACAGAAGAGCTTGATTTGAATTACTTCTTGTAAAATAATAATTTATTTAAAAGATGTTAAGCTGCGTTATTGCAGTGTAATGGGAAGTTTGTTGCTAGTACTCTGCATTGTAATGTGATCTGTTAATAACATTGTTGTATTTATATTTTAATAAAAATTCATTTTTTGTACACTCTGTTTTCTTATGACATATCCGTAACTTTCCTCTCTCCAACTCATAAATACGTAACTAATAGTTACCGAGATACAGTTTTATCTAAATCATTACTTTAGTTTTCTTGCTGGCAAGCTTATTCTTTTCTTTAAACTTGAACGGTTTCTCGAACCAAGTACATCTAGTTTATTTATGAATCGAAAGTGGATAATTTAACCAGAGTACACACTGCATACGCAATTGACGTTACCTTTGTCGAATACTTCATTGGTAAATAACGGTCGATGTTCAACCTTCGCAGGCTTTTTTAGTACAAGCTATAAAGCTTGCGACATCAAGACACACTTCAACGGGAATATTCGCGGTGCCGCGTTGCACCTCCAATTTGGTTTCGGTCATGATGCGAAAACAAAAAGCACGTACACGCTCGCTCGCATCTGAAAATAACTGACGACGTAAAAATCAAATACTCGTTCATCTGCAACTGGTTTTTCAAACGCATTGATTCGAAATTTGGAATTGAAAAAAATCGAAATAATATAAAAGCAAACACACGCTAAAACAGAAAATTATTGAATCACATACACAACAGGCTACTGACTTATCTGATATAAGTAACTGAGCGATTGGTACTCTGAACTTTCATACGGAATGGCTAGTTTTGAAAAAGAGAAGATGATAATCGTTATATCGGGAACGAGAGAATTGCAATTTTCTCGCGCTTAGATTTCCAAAGTTTTCACGAACAATTCTATCGCCAGAAATTCTAACCAACAATCGCTATAGAAGTCTGATTATTAAATGTCCGGCTTGCGCTGTTACACAAGGTCGCGATAACTTTTTGCTAACATACTCTGCCCCATTTTTAACGTTTTGCGTAACCTCGCGCTTCAAAGACTTTGTACTGTTGAAAGTCAACCTCTCTTTGGGAAGGAAAAAAAGAAAGCATGGACGATCGTCCTATTTTCCAATTAACGTACACCAGCAATAGCACGGATTGGAGAAGAAACAAAACGAAACGACGATGAAATGGAAAAGGCGGCTCCCACCCGCGCCGTTAGCCGGTGACCCCGCGCTGTGATAAGGTGCGACCTCCGGAGCTTCTGGAAATATCGAAGTTTACTCGGCAGCTTATTGTCACTTGTGCTGCCCACGAGGGAAATCCGTATTCTTCGACGAGTAAACAAACAATAATGAGAGGCCTCATACCGAGTTGCGATGGTAAGTATCGCGTGGAACAACTCTTCGAAAAATTATTAGTAAGTTTCCCAGTATGTACGTCGACACGTGATGGCTGATAAAGATATTTCTCACGTTTCAACCAAACAATCCTTTTTCACTCGATTCTATTCTGCTGCGCTCTAAAAAGTAACGTTTTCTCATTACGCTTTGCTTTCATGTCAAAGTGCTCATCGAAACTGTAAGTGAAGTTGAACTATAAACAGAAAAAAAGAAATTTACGTTTGATTTTGCAGCAAAGGCAGGAGCAGTCGAGGAAGGTTTCGAGCCAGGTGAAATACGCAGCGATCGTTTCAACGTCTTCAAATGGTTCATCACAGTGAACGTGATGCTTCTAATAATTTTCTGTGGCTACGCATTATGGAATCTGTACCAATTAGACAATGTCATGAGGTCCCGAGAAGAAGCCGTGAGCCTACCAAAGTACTACGCCAACCGCAAAGTCAATGGCCAGGTCAACGACACACTCGACTTTCACGAATGGAAAAAATCCATTTTGGAGAACCTCCAAGGAGACAGCAAGACCAACGACAGCTATGGAAATTTAAAAGTACTCCTTCGCAGCATTGGCAATATCATGGAAAATAAGAAGAACAAACTTGTCGTTGCCAATCTAACCGATCACGAAGTTCAAGCTCTCAAAGAATTCACCAGGTTCAGATATCCTAGAACTGTTGTTGGTGGTCCAGATGAAAGCGAGTGTAATATGCAGTTTTCGCTGACTGTAACCAACAATGACGTACCTGTCCGGCTCCGTGTCAAACCTGCCACAAAGGGTGAAGGCATGGTTAATATCAAGACTACCACGAATTATATGAAGAAGTCTAGAGCTGAATCCGATATACGCGAGTGCTCGTTTAATATTGTTTACCAACCGCAAAATCAGGACGAAAATGCGATCTGATTTTTCTCACGAAATAAAAAAACATTAATTAGGCTTAAAAGTAGTTTTTTTATTTTCTTAAATAAGTTACGCATCAACAATGCAACTGCAGAACTCGTGTATTGAGCGTTGAGGCTGAATGTGTAAAAATCAATGCGTACACATAATGAATTCAATACTGATACGAAGATATTCGGACACGTTGAATCATCCGAGAAAAAAGTACGCGACAAATTATCAGCATTATGTCAGTCTATCTGCTTAGTGTTGTCGTTCTCCTGAACTTATTCATTTTCTTTATCCGAAATTTATCGCAAAAGATGAGACTTTCTCTGCCCAAAAGTTTCGCGCAGAAATATTAGTTGACGGGCAGCTGGCGCAACATGAAGTTGCCTTTGAGAAATACAATTTCTAGTAAGAATATCTTTTGTATATTTGCATTGGATTGATTTAATTTAGATTTCCGAGGAAATTTAGCGCTATTAAACTCATTTTTCTGATACAACACTAGACCTGATTTACATAATTATATTCTTATCACTAAGTACGAATACAATTAATCGTGATTTCATTCTTAAACATTCTATTAGTTAAAACATTTCTGAACGATAAAAGTAAATGTAGTCAGTGCATTTATCTCAGCTCTGTTGATCGTTCAAGGATTGAACGAAAAACATGTACAACTTTATGTCTTATTTTCCAGAAAAGAAATTATTAATAACGCATGTAATCGTGAGAGGCTACGTTTTAAATTATAATTTTACATAGAAAATACAATCGAAAAACGAAACTCTTTTTTTTTCATCAGAAATCGAAATAATAGAAGATGACATTCCAAGTCTACCAAAGATCAGAAGTTTTGACAAAATTTCATCTATACTATTTTTCATGCTGCTCCTTGCGGCGAGTGGCATAAGCTACATTTTGTACCAAGCGTATCATCATCAGATTGAAAAGCACTTGGCGCACAATGAAATCAAGAAGCTTGTGCAAGAGAGTTTCGCTAAGAGCAATGAGATATTTAAGAGCGGCCAGGTCATCGTCGAAGTACAGGTACGCGATAAGAATCGAAATCTGTTATGGTTCAAACATATAGACGAGGAGAATCTAAAGGATGAGCAACAAGTTGAAAAAGAGATTATGACTGAATTTGAAGAAATAGAGAATTCGATAGTGCCGTGAGTTAAAACAGAAATTTAGTTTTTTATTTACACAATTCCCATTCGCAATAGTAAAAAATGTATCGTTTATATTTTGTAATTTTAGGGTATCGTCAGTGCGGAACAGTCGAAGCATCCATTTATCGTACTTGGTGTCGCATCAAACGCAATTCGTTAACTGCGACAATTTCAAGCCACGTCCTCGTGGTAAATATTTGGTGCCGCCGTCTCTTCACGCATTACACATGTGTTACCAATACGGAGTGAACATGGACGAGCTCAAGCGTGGAATTCTGAAAAGAGAAGGAGGCAATGAATTGAGGTACAATTTGCATGATCTTTACGTGGCGTGCCACGATGTATTTAACGATCAAATGGATGAATTGACGAGTGAACTGAGAAACGATTACGAGAAATGCAAGTGGTCTGGTGCACTTAATGAAAATCAACAGAGGGTTGTCGAGGAAAGATTTGCTCCTCGTTTCGGTTAGTAATTGACATTCACGCTTCGTTTTTTTTCCTTCTGCGCAATTGTGCTCAATCGCGTTCGTACTTTATGAGTGCATAGATAAGGCACAATAATGGGCACGCATTGCTCATTCCCAATGATGGCGTACAAATGAAACGCCAATGTTCTATATAGTTATTTATTTTTTGCAACAATCGCTTTGTGCTTGAACATAATTGCGAGTGAAGCTTTCAAATATATTTCTATACTCATGAGTTTAAATCACAATAGCTTGAAGTTTCTTTTAATTTGTAATCCATAAAATCTTCTGAAAATCTTTCAGCTTCATCAAACTCGCCGGCCAATCTTGAAGCAAGCACAATATTATCAGCAGTGCCATCGACAGAAATCTCAAGACCAGTAAGAATAGATCCTCGAGCGTATGTCGAATGTAGTCACGTGGAAACTGAGATGTTCGAAGACTGGTTCGATAGTCCGAGCCCGGAGGCATTGCAACGTTGCCACGAGTTTGGCGTTACCTACGATGAGCTTCGTCGAGGAATTTCACAAAATCCACAGCCGGAACAGACGAGATTAGACGTGGGTAATCTTTACGTGTCTTGTCGGGATGTGTTCGACGGAAATTTGGAGTACTTGTCGAACGAACTTAAGGCCGATTATCGAAGATGCAAACTTGCTAGGGCCCTTAGTAAGGAAACTCTGGACAAAGTTGAAAGAAAATTTTATGAAGCTTTGTCCGACGAACGAGGTAAGGAAAAATCAAATATTTATTGTATAAGAATTCCAATACGCAAAAATTCTTCGGTGAATGATAATGTACGAAAAGACATGCTAAAAGAGTCTTTCCTGCTCGGTTGAGAATAAATATTTTGGTATTAAGTCGAGACATACTCGAATTTACATTTTGAGCATTAAAATGCTAACAAGTAATTTCAAATAATTCAGCACAATAAACATAATTCAATATTGATATAGTCTAATACTCAATTTAATTGAAATGTTACACAAATATTTAGAGAGAAACGTTAGAATTTTTTCTCAAAAAGTCACGTTCTTATTTGCTGGTAACTGTATGTTCAACCAATGTGCAACCACAAGAGTTCGATTAACTACGTGACATTGATAAATGGTGAAAACGGTCAAAGAGAAATTGCAATTTTGTTTGTACCAGCGACCAAACTAATAATCCGCTCAATTTAATAAAAGCGTTTTACGAAGAATGAAAAATATAGAAAGATGAATCTGGGTGGTGAAAGTATACAATAGCGATTTTAGTTTCATCTATTGCGTTTTCTTTTTTATCGACTCTGTATGTACAGTATAAACGTCCTTTAAACGCTATTCATGACTTGAGTGAAGAAAGTCAGTACCCGCAGTGTAACATTGCCGATGACTTTTATTTATCATATTTTTTCGACGATAAAATTCCTTTATTCCCTTTTCTTATTCATCTGGTAGCATTCGGGGTCATTTAAACATTAACAATAAAATATAAAATGAACGTAACTAGAAAAAAAATTATACTTGACCTCATAACGAAGTCAAAAATAACTAATTCTCAAAACTTTTTTTACAATGCGCTGTAAACGCAATTAAAAACTTTTGCAGAAGTTACTAGTAGAAGGCCAATGACAACATCATCAACAGCAAGAACGACGACAACGGAAATCGTGATGACAACTAGTGATGACTACTTCGAGCGGCAAACGACGACGACGACAGCAGTGAATAAACCGCCTGCTTTCGCCAATTGTAAACGCGTAAAAAACAAGGACTTCTACATTTGTATAAAAGTGATCACAACACATCCAAAGGAGCCCGACTATTAACGTCTGGCGCGTCTGTATATAGGAAAGTCGGAAGTGCGCATTGGATCCAATGTTTCCGCTTAGATTTATTTTATTCTATTTTTGTTTGCCCAAAGCTGTGATGGCATTTTCGTAGAACTGCTTTGGAAAGTTTCTTGTTAGCTTCAGCTGTACTTGTTTTTTTATCTGTACTAATTTTAACGATGTCAACGCAGTGTAATTGTCACGCGATTAAAAATGGTAAAAAAAATAAATCAATTTACGTGTCGTACTGAATTAATTCTATCAAAAATCCCAAACAAGCGCATAAAATCCAGGTGCGGCTGATCGACTGTGCGCGTTGCGCTATTCGTTAAAGTCGTCACGATGAAGAAAAGAAGAGACAGCTGTAATAATGGTAAACAACAGCAGTTACGTCAGTTCATTGACACATACCTCGCGAGCGACGGTGGCGGCGGTTACTCGGAGCAAAAACCCGAACGCATCTACAAGAAACTATACAAATTGCAGCTTCGGCGCTGATGTACGAGCTGAGATAACTTGGCGACGACGCTGCGACGATTAATGCGCGCAACGAGACCACGGCTGATTTTGCATCCCCGCACTGGCAGACAGGAGAGAAGAGAGAAAAAATAAAGGAGAATCGTAACGCCAGTAGAAGTCATTGACATCCCAAGAAGATTTTCAATTGTCCCATTTTCGTTAGGACGGTGAAAGGCAGCAAGTCGCGAGCTCGCTGCTGCCGTTGCTGGCGGTCTTCGTAAACTCTTCTTCTAGCCTTTCCGCGCGGCGCGAGCGTCGTCGTTTTATTTTCACTCGTCTTCGAGTTCATTTCAATTTCGTTCTTATTTTTCTACTATTTCCTCTCTCTCTCTCTCTCTCTCACGCGCGCGCGCACTCGCTACCGTTTTCATTGCAACGTTTTACGATACTGCTTGTCATTTCGGATTAAGCTACCACCGATACACCGAATCCTTCGTTTTTTGTTTATAACGGTCGAAAGTAAAAGTAGGTCGTCCATTGTATATTTTTACGCTGAAAAATTCATTAACTGTGACGAGGGAGAGAAAATTGTTATTGCATAAATATTGAAATGAAATCTGCATGGCGTTCCACATCTGGAAAGTTACATTATTTATTCGAAAAGAAGCACAGTTTTCACACTCGGTATATAATGAAATCTTGTTTCTATGTGGTTAAGAGAAATCACGGCGTTCGTTTGAGATTGTAAATAGATTTCGCGTTACAACTGAATTCTCTTGCACTGATCCCGGTGCGATCGGCTCATCACAGCCGCAAAACAAAAACGAACGAATGCGTCGACGGCTAATAACTGGATTATACAAGCAATGAAAAATTGCCTATTTCGATCTCGTTCCGCTGAATTAAAAGCAGCTCTGATGTCTCCTTCCGCTAGTCACGAAAATCCGACGGAATCTTTCGTTTTTTCGCGTCGGGCTATAGGTACAACATACAAGGACAACGCACACCAGCCATATGCAGAATACCTGCAGCGGCACGGCGATACAGTACGAGAATATGGAAATGTTGCGTTCGCTCGCGAGCTCGACGAATCATGAAAAACGGCATTTTCTTCTATGAGTTATATTTGTATATCGCGCCGCGGAACTAGATGAGACAGGTGTAAATCGCCGTTTTCGTAGCGGAGGAAATGGAAAAGTACGGTAATTCGATAAGAAAATAATACGCGCGCGACGTTGAGTCACCATACTATAAGAATTGTTCAAATAACGCGCGAGACGCAGGCCTTTGACAATAAAACAGCAGAATACTTTCGGACGCGCCTACATTTCGGTGCGACGGATCTCGCTCTCGACATTGAATCAGCTTACACCCATTACGAAACGCAATTATTATTATTTTTTTTCGTTCTTACCGAATGCATTTCTCGCAGCGAGAGATTCTCGCGCGCGGATAATCTTTTTTCGAAAGTAAAAACGTGGCGCGCGCGGAGAGAAACAATTATCGCATGTGTGCGCGCGCGTAAGCGCAAAGAGAAAATGCATTGGGCGGTCGTCGAACGAGAACTCGTTTGAACAGTGTGTTACGCGCTCGACGCGCGCCGCTTTTTGAGGAAAGAGAGAGAGAGAGAAAAAGGAAAAGACAACGAGCGAGTACCTACTTTCGTGCCGAAATTTTTCATCGACGAGGGACCCCCGCTTATAATTATTGTTTTTTTTTTTTTTTTGCGTAACTGCGGCGCGAGGGTGTCGCAACCGAACAACGGCATTATTATCGAATCGATTGTGCAAATAAACATCAATGAAAAAGACACGGACAATTGTGAAGAACAAAAGGGAGAGAGAGAGAGAGAGCGGTCGAAGGAAAAAAAAATTAGTTGTATACGCTCCAGTTGCGTGCGCCGGTGAAAAAAATAAAATAAAAAAAGAACAGCAGTTCGTGTGCAGCATCGCCGTGTATATACGCGTCAAGGTTTGATGTCCTTTTATTTTTGTCGCATCCGAAGGTTGTCGTCCTGCGTGAAAATGATGCGGTCGAACGCTGAAAAAAAAAAGCGGAATGAAACGGAGTCGTTGCGTAATCGCGCGCGCGCGAGAACAAAATACGTGCAAACATCCGAACTGACTTGCTCGAGAAACTATCGTAGTAGATATTATTGTTTTGAATTGTGACTAGCAGGGAAAATCCACGTGTGCACGCGCATTTTCTCTAATTGGAATATTCCTATTTTAGCTTTCGTGACTGTTTTGTCAGCTGTAAATAATATACTGTTACCTATTGAAATCGGAAAAATACGCTCGAGGAAAAGTGGCTTATGTTCACTTTGCCACGACGAATCAGCCTTTTTCTCACCGTCTGTATAATACGCAATTACAACAATATTTTTTTAGCCTTGCGCCATCGACGATACGCGCAAATACTAAAAATCGCCTTGACAGGCTTGTCACGATTTTGTCATTTTACAGTATCTAATCAATGAGCAACAAAAGATTTATAAATAACAGTAATCCAAATATATAAATAAACTATATATAATAAACCGACAGCTGAAATCTTAGCAAACTAAAAATCCGCTACTTTCCCACACCACTTGGCCGTAATCATCATCAGGAGCTGTAAAATATCCCATCAGACGGACACAAGTTGTCAAGAGATATACATACACGTACGTAGAGAGAGCTGCAGCTACTCTCAGCGAAGCATCGTCTATAGCTGACCCAGCAACTTTCTCGACCATGACTACCTCTTGCGGCTTTCGAGTGGGGTGAATGAAAAAAAAAATACACTCATACACACAGGCACACAGAGGCAGAGTGAAAGGTGTGCTGCCACGGCTGTTGGCTTCGAACTCTCACACGCTCACGCAGACGCGCGAAGAGGCCGTTATTACACGCGCATACAGGCTTAGTCGTGTTGTTTGAGGCCCCCGCCGACGAAGAGTGACGACGAGAGAGCGCGGGCAGAGAGCGCGGCGCCCAGTCAGTAGCTCCCGAGCACTTGTTGAGCCAAGATGAAGGAACCGTGGAAGAAATCGTGCAACGGTGAGTTGTTGCTCTCAAATTCGCTTCTTCGATCAATTTTCTTCTTTCTCGGGGTCCGCCGTGTCTCCGCGCGAAAATACAGCGCGCTTCGCGAGGAACGAGGCTCTCGCGTTCCGCCTTATAAGTATATCTAGGCAGTGAGAGAGAGAGAGAGAGAGAGAGAGAGAGAGAGAGAGAGAGCGAGATCCTTGGAAAAGTCCGTTGCCGCCGCGAGAAGCTTATGTAAGATTTGCTCACCGCGCGAGTGCTGAAGTTTAACAAGATGCAGGAGAAAAATCGCCGCCGTGCTTGGGAAATCTCTCGACTTATGCAAAAGAATAAAAAGAAAAAAAAGATTGAAAGGCTATGAGCCGCGCGGGAGGACAACGACATTGTTTTTTCTCTGTTTCTTTATGCCTCGCCGTCGGAGAAAGTGTATTATAGCTCTATCGCATAGGAAATTTCAATTTTTGCACCGCGAGTGAAGAGAACAAAAAGTTATTGCGCTCGGAGGCCTCAATTACTCGCGTATAGGCATACACACGCGCGTGCGTGAGTGTGTGTGTGTGTAGGTGAAAGCATTCACACCATAGTACGTGTCGCGCGCTCGCGAAAGCGAGACTGTTAGTTCGAAAAATTTATCATTCTTCTCGTGCGCCAGTTAGGTTTCCTCTTTCTTCTTTGCATAGCGATCGCCAGTACGAGAAAACGTTTAGCGAAATTTTCCACGGGTGCACGGACAATAAGGCAATTATCGAATGCGTGCCAGGCCGTCGCGTTTCTTTTTTCTTCTCATGAATGACCCAGATGATCACGTGCCACACCGTGCGATTTTCGCGTTGTTCCAGGCAAGGTGGTAATAACCTTGAACAATGACAATTCTGAGAAAGCTGCAGGAGGTGCGGCAGCAGGAGCTGGACCAACGGAGGTTGAAGTGCCGGTTGACCTCGCATGGGCCAGTCATCGCAGTGAGAAAAGATGTTCCGCTCCGAAAGCGGTGATCCTCATGGGTGTTCTCCTCGTTCTGGGTTTGACGATTGTCACCCTGTTCAAGGTGCAGAATTTAGTATACTCAACGACCTACGTTAATTGGCGTATGCAGGAGCTGGAATCCGCTGTTAACGATAACAATGACGATGTCAAGCTCATCAAGTACAAATTGGACGAGTTCATTTTAGATGAGAAGAACGATGAAATAGCCTCGATGAGAGGTGCAAGAGCTGAGCCCTTGGTCGCCACGATTAATTCGAAGAACGTCGATAGTGATGACTTGAAGTTGTCCGAATCGCAGAATCAAAATCACAAGTTGACCAACTCATTGAGCTCCGAGAAGAAAACTTCTGAAGGTGCTGGTAAAGGTCTCGAGGTTGAGACCAAATCCGAGAACAAGTATGCGAAGGAGCAAACTGACCTCAACGACGCCCCCAATCATCCTAACCCTGCTGATCCCGAAGAATGGATCAAACCTCTGGTCGAAACTTTCGACATCTTTGGTAACCAGCCAATGGAAGATCAATTTATCCATAATGTGCTGATGAAGTTGTTATCTCCAGATAATAACTTCGCAGTGTTGGAGTTTAACAAAATGCAGGATGCTAGCAACAATGCTCCTCACGAAGCTGACAATCAGAAGATGGTCTTAAATCCTGCGGTACGTCCGAATGAGAGCGACAGGGAAAGGATCAATCGACCACTGCCTTTGCCCATCGAAAGTATCCTGATGAAGAGTTTGTTACCGCCGATCAGCAACTTCAAAGTGTTCCATTTTAATGAAAGACCTGAACAACAGCAACCACAGCAGAATAGTATGGAAGAAGAGATGCCTCCGAAGATGAGTTTGAGACTCAAGCAGATGTTGCCACCACCCATCAACGATATTTTCAAGACTCTGCTGCCACCCGGAAACATGAAGATCTTCCACTTGAACGACAACAAGCAAATACCCGAGCAGAGTTCCGAGGAGGATATGCCAAAGATCACCATCCAGAGTGTCAAAGTGAGATTGGTACCACTTCCTGATGAATTCGGCAAGGAGATGCAGGAACCTCGTGAACAACCCAATTTTGAGGTTATCAGATTAAACGAGTCACCTGAACCCAGCCAAGAAGTTGAAGCTCCTAAAATGTCGATGCCTATCAACGCGTTCAATCCATTCCCCATTCCAATTCATGAACTTATGAAGTCCATCCTACCTGGGTCACCAAAAAACATTGAAATTGTGCCGCTCACTATGGAGAAACCTGATGACCAGCAACAAGATAGCGATAGTCAACAACAAGAGAAGTTCAATCCTCTGCCTATTCCACTTCAGGACCTCGTTATGAAGACTCTGTTGCCTCAACAACAATCACCACAACAACAAGAATCCAACGAAGGTGATGTTGAGATTACCAAGATTCCAGTTCGTGCGATTCACCCATTCCCCATTCCTGAAACTCTGATGAAGTCTATGCTCCCGGTGAGCAATTACGGTGGTGAACCCATGCACATGATTAACGTAGCTGAACAACAACCACCCCAAACACAACAACAACAGCAACAGCAACAGCAGCAGCAACATCAACAACAAGAGGAAGTTCGTCAGCGCAGTACCAAGCTCAATCCTGTTGAAGAGAATTGGAATATGTCGCCACCAGCCGAGCCTACCCAGAATTAATGTTGACGTTGATTAACTGGGGCTACGAATAATAATTGACAACAAAGAGTATTTTTTTTTTCTAATGAGCATTTTCCTTTAAAATAAGCGGGAGACGAAAATGATAACTTAATTTGTGATATGTGCTATTACTGTTAGTTAATTTGTATTTATCGGAATGGAATAATCGCGGTTTATAATCTGTATATCGATCGATTCAGACTCCCTCTTCCTCTCATGCGTCTTTCTTTGCTCTTCGTATTTATGTATATTCCATTCACGATGTAAAGTGAAAACATTGTCGATGAGGAGGGGAGCACGTTATCAAATTTTTTTTTTCTGTTTTACTGTGAAAAGAGTGATATATATTTTTTCCCTTTCGTATTAATACTATTTTTTCTTTCTTTTTGAGTCAATTGGGCATTTCTTTACGTGTGAAACTCATTTTTTAAAACCAATAAATCATATTTTTCGATCTAAATTTTGACTGTCTTTCTTTTCCTTATATTTTATGCCAAGTTTTTTTTTTTATTACGCTTGCTTGAGGAACGCGATTGCTGGCTCGTTATATTACGATGACTCACGTAGCGCGCAAAAATATCGCAATTTCAAGTTTAAAGAAACAAGAATAATCCTAATAGGTTTGAGCTTGAAGGACTCCCAGAGCAATCGCAATCGCTGAAACTTCCAAAACGTTATGTTTTTTTTTATTATTTAAAATTAGTTTTAAACTGGAGGTTTATATTATACGTTAAAAATAGTCACATTCTTCGGTACACGTCCTTTCAGAAAAATTGAATTGTGCTTACACCTTTGTTTTGATGATTAAGAATCGTGATTGTCGTGTTATTAAATTTTGATGAGTCAGCCAATAAATAACGGCCGCGAGTTTGTAAAAAAATAAAATAAAAATGTCACGGACAATCAGGGTATGTGGGATTAAAAGTTGATCATGTAAGCAAATTTTTATTAACATTATGGAAATCATTTCCCCATCAAGTGGATAACTCATGCACAACTGATAGAGTTAATGCATCATTAAACTTATCAAGCATACCTTTCAGCAAATCCATGCTTTCTACACTTTCAAACTATCTTTTCACTTGAATTCGAAAACGAGAGATCGTTAATGTAACTTTCATAATCAAAATTAAACGTGATCTTTTTGTTAACATAATATACGTATCGATAAGACATGACCAATTGATAAGGTATCTCTTTGGAAAATCAGTTGTTTTATTGCAACTTGGATGAGTGAAACAGAGTACACACGGCAGCATAGTATTTATGCTTTCGAGTGTCGAAACTGAGTGCTTGGAAGAGCTATGGCGGCGCAATCAAGAATTGGGGAGTCTTACATTTCAACGACGTTGACGTCAAGTTGCTTAACATTTTTTCCTCGGTAAGCTGTATATGTGTACGCTGGTCACCGGCGAATGCAGTTCAGTGTAAATTGCGTTTCGTAATGTTGACTCGTGCAGTTCGCATTTGAATGTTAAAATGCCTTTTTGTCCTTCGGATGATGATAAAAAAATGTGCGGGAGAGAACATTCAGAATGTTGTTGTTGTTCTTGCTCGCTCTTTTCTATGCTCTTTATCGAGTATCGTAAAATAAGAAATGCAGTGATAAAATAACAAAATAGCTCTTGTAAAAATGAGGCGCATCAGCTTTGAATTTTTCATGTCGGGAATATATATTTTTAAAAATTCATGAAACTCGCGTTCGATAACAAGTAGTCTCTCAAACTTGTTGACTCAAGTGTCGTGAAATCAGGTTTAGAAATGTGTTCATAGACATAAACGATAAAAAGCCATGACGAAATTGTAAAACGTTTTAGAGCTAGAAATACATTTCTCTTAAAAAAAAAAGAGTTGAAAAATAAAACACAACTTACACAATTCCAGTTTTATTTAAAGCTTCCTAACTACGATGATCCACCCAATCCTCGTTACCCTGTCAATCTTACCATTCAGCATCAACGCTGAAACCACAATTAGTCCGATCATCATCGACGCTCAAACCTACGTGAATTGCGCCCACGCCGAGAAATTATTACAGATCGACTCTACACAGTATGGTGTAGGTACGATTCTAGATGCCTGTTGGCATCGCGGCGTCACGCTAGATTAGCTTGCTTACCGGATCAGCGCGATGCCTGACCTTCGCGAGGACATCGAAAACTATGACTTCGCCGGGCTTTATGTATCTTGCGAGGACGTTTTCGCGGCTAATTTGACAAGGCTGACCACCAGTTTGCTCGAGGGTTACGTCAATTGCGTCGAACAAGATGCGATTAATGACCTTTTGAAAAGCAAAATTGATGAGAGATTTGGTTATATCATTCAGGTTTACAAAGATGGTAAGATTTTATTTCAGAATCGTAACTTTTTCTCGTTTGTATAAACAACGATCATTCTAATTATCGGCAATCGTAATGGGTAATTCTAATGACGCAGTAATAAAATCAAACAGCTATTGTAAAACAATTACTCGATTTTTACATGCTTGTCAACTATTTGCATTGTTGAAAGTTTAACGCTACTTCTGCAGTTTACGTAATTTTCTTAGCGTACGTTTCAGTTACTCAATATCTCATTCCATCGCCTATTATAGATAAAAAATGAAGGGATAAACGTACGAAAGATCGAGAAGCTGCTCAGCTATAACAGTTCTTTGATTGATTAGCGGAACCTTTTTTCAAGTTTGAAAAAGTCTTGAAATCATTGTAAAACTTTCGAAAAATTCAGGAAATTCATCAGTAACAGTGGACGAGCAGACTTTAGTATCTTGTGGCAACGCCGCGAAGCACGTAAGTGTACTGTGCCGCGAGTACGGTCTAACGGGTGATCAATGGAGCAGGGGCTTCCTACGCTTCCACTATAACGATAAATGGGCAGTCGAGGAGGAAGTAGTCGAATTGAACTTTGGTTGCGATCGAATTTTCAATGCCAAATTACACGAGGATGTGTACCAAAACTTCATTGACGCTTTTGTTAAATGCCAGACGACATTGGGAGTCTACAGCGAGGTTAGAGATGGTATCGAGAAGAAGTACGCCGAACAATTGATGGCGTACAGAGGTGGGTGTATGCAAGAAAATGTGCGTAGGATAATCATTGTTTCCATAGTACTGTCACGTACGGCATTGGAAGGATAAGATTGGTGTATGCTGCCATTGTTTTCTTTAAGAATAATTTAAACGTCGGTAAATAACTTTCTTTTTCCTGTTGGATTGATTGACCGATCGATTGAGAAGGGAAAAAAGGCACGATCGACGAAGAGAAAATGCGTCAGCATTTTTTTTAACGTGTCATTTATAGAAGTCACGCGCTTTGAGAAAACATGAATTTTCCTCTCCGGTAGAAAGTATCTAAACTTTTATTCGCGAGCTTTAGTAATCGAAGCGTACAGATTGGCTAAAAAAGTGTGTCTATTTTAATCGACGCGAAAGCTTGTCACGCGCATAGTCAAGTACGAAAATCAAACCTAGCTAGCTAGTCGTTGTCACCCACCGGTAAAAACGAAACCGTCAGCAGATCTTGTAAGTTCCCACCGAAAAATCCATGATCGAGACTGGCTCTGTGAAAAACGCAAATACAATTATCAAACAAAGTGAAAACTGTCCTCCAGGTGGAGCAAGTAGCAGCAGCGATCTCCGTGGGTATGTAAGCTGCAGACGCTTGATTCCAATAACCGTGGGAAACGACGCACTCAGTGTTTCCTGGTACGCCTACGACCAATGCCGCTCCGAAGGACTGACCTACCAGCAACTTTGCAATGGAGCGACAACTCGCGACAACGAACTCAGTGATATGCTACCGGGTGTAGAGAACGACGTTGACGATATGTACGTAAAATGTGAAGATGTATTCAATGAGGAGCTTCGGAGTTTTACGACGGGGTTGATCATTGATTATCGTGCTTGCGATGAGATTGGCAAGATAAACAAGCAGGACAGGATGACGTTGGAGAAGAAATTCGCTAAGTTGTTCGAGCTGCTGGCAAGTGAGTTTTTTTGTTTTTTTATTTGGCTCGTAACAGTTCGAATGCAAGCGATCAAAAACTCGAATTAATTCAGTCATAGATCGAGCGCTAAGTGTACTTTCGACCAAATTATAATTATTCATCCGAAATATAACTGCACACTTTTGAAATCACTCGAAATAGAATTATGCACTTAATATCACGAGCTATCAACTTACTTCTTAAATAAAAATAAATAAAAGAAAAATTTCGAATTTTTTTCACGCGTGTGCTCTATTTTAACCCGTAAGTAACTTACATCTAAAGAATTCACATTAGCATGTGTAACGAAAGGCATGCGACAAAAGGCGAGTTGCAAGACAGGTGAGGCATGCATATTTGCATAATTACGCCGCTGTGGACTAATTTTCGTTTTTGTAATTTTTGTTTTGTTTTCTTTTGAATGGAGGTTTCAGCTAAGCGTGAAAATGAACTAGTTGTCACAAATGTATTTTTTTTTCTGTGTTAGAGATAAAAATTGTCCATGGCTCGCCGTTCGGAGCGGAAAGGAAGTTTAATGCGAAATGTTTCTTTTTTTAACTTTCTTTTTGAAAGATATTTGACAAGCGTTGTTACGAATGTTGTTCTTCTACGTCGCAGTTATTGATTTTGTTTGACAAGCTAAATACATATGTGAATACTTTTTTTGCACGAATGAATGATTTATTTTATAAGCAAATTTATAATAGCCTTTTGAATTGTAAATATCGCGCATTCGTTAAACATCCGAAGTAATGGCTTGCGCCATCTTCAAAATCAAATGATGAAAAAATAAATTATCTCATTGTACATTGAAATTTCCAGCCAAACATGCAAAAATGAGGGTAACACCATTACAGAGGACCTAATATCCTGTTCCGGTCTCACGAACACATTAGCTGACGAGTGTCGTCGTCATGGTATAACAATCGGCCAAAAGCTCCGTGGAATTGGCAGTTTGTCACACATCCTTGGCGACAAATGGTCGAACACCGAGCCACTTCACAAACTCTACATCCGCTGTGACGATGTGTTTGACAAGTATATCACTTATCTGGACGATGTACCGCTTGAGAAATTTATTCAGTGTCGCTGGAACGACGCCATGAGCGAAGATGAATTGGCTTATGTTGATATGAGAATTGCTGATGAGTACAAGAATAAATGGAAAAAAAACGATACGAGGTTTGTTGATGATGCTGATGTGCAGATTTCATCGACTATTTCGTTCACTGAAGAACACAGATCGGAAGAGGAAGAAACGGAATGATATTATACTTTTTCAACAGATTTCGTTTAGAATCGCTGTTGAGATAAATAATTCTTTCATTATACAATTCATTATAAAATAGATGGAGTGTCAAATTATTTGTTATGTACATTTTCATAGAAAACAACCTTTTCAATTCTTCGTATAGGCTAATACATCACAAGTAGATGTTAATAAAAATAATAGCATGTTTGTAAATATATCTGTAATTCTGTTGTTATTGTCTGTCCGCAAAAAAATTATGTAACAAAAGCATAAGCTAATATTTCGACGTACCAGCTCATCATAATCAACCCACGCACGTGTCAAAGATAAAACTCCCGCCGAACACTGCTCAAGGTTACTAAAAAAAAAGAAAAAGAAAAGGAAGAAGACCTATTTCATACGCAAACGAACCACAAAAAAGAAAAAATAATTGAAAGTAACGCAGACTACAGTTAGCGGGTTATTTATAATATCGAAGTGACTTATGAACCGAAAAAAAACGACGTTTTAACGAAAGAGGATGAGATCGCTTCGAGGAATCACAAAGCTAAAAAAGCATTCGGGGATTCTCAAGGTAATTTTTCGTTCTCACGTACAAATAACAGTCACGCTTCAGATTTCGTTTTTTTGACGAAGGAGGATGTTCAAAGGTTGAAGCAATGTTAAATTCGATAATGTTTGCCGGAGATCTGATAATTTTTTTTCTATCGTAGCGCGTTATTAATTTTGCATTCACATTCGGATAACATCAAAGAACTTATTTGAAGTATAAATTTTTCAAAAATTTATATGGATTATTATAATTATATGTACATATAATAAAATTTTGATGGGCAGTTCTGATTTTTTATGAAAACGAAGATAGTTTTTTTAATAAATAAAGTGTTCAATAAAATATCTTTTATGAATCTCGCAAATCTAGACATTCAAGTAAAAATGATTATGTATTTAAAATTGTAAATCAACCATAAAGTTACCTAAAAATTTGCTATCAAGTGGTTATATTTTCAAATTAAAAAATTGCCTCGCAATCGAACAGGTCCATTTTACTCACCACTCGTACTTGAAATAATCTTATTCTGTCAAAAAACATTGTTGAAAAGATTTTTATTCGAAGAAAACGATAATGCCAAAATACAATGTATATGGACGAAGGTTGAAAAAAGAGCAGCAAACAAAAAGGTTCAACAATGCTCGTCGAAGAGAAAACATTGAGCGCGGGTTGGCATGAATCCACAAGCAAACAAACGCACGAAAATGATATGGAAATTCGATGTTATCGCGTATACATTTATGCTACTGCGATTTTTCGTATCCTCGTTACGCAATGATTTATTATTTATTTGCAAGGCGTATCTTCTTGGTCGTACGTGCGATAAAGTATAGAAGTAAGAAAAAATCACGGGATGTCGCGAACATCTCGCGGACTACTTTTCAGTCGAGTCGCGATGTTTGAGCTCCAGCAGTTCCAGAAAAAGCAACGTGAACGAGGTGAGCAAAGAATCGTTCGGAATCCACTTAGTTTACGTGAATCAATCTGTCATTCCATCTTTTTGGATAGCATTCTCTAAGAATAGAAGACTTATCTTCATTTTCGAATTGTTCTCCTGAGAGATATGGAAACGTAGAGGTAATTGTTCTCCTACGCGAATAATGACTGATGGTTCGCATAATTACTTACGCAATTACGTATGTCGTTTGCACATGATTCTTTTTCTTTGCGCGAGAGGAAACATTAAGGAGATTTGTATCTTTCTCGTGCGTTTCGCAACCACCATAAAATGGATGACAGAACGATGCGTGTAGATGTAACGAAATGAAAAAAAAAAATGTTTCCATCGCAGTTCAGAAATGCTTCGACTTTTACGAATTGTTTGAAAGGAATGATAAAACAGTTGAGTTTCATATTCTCGATGATAACAATAATTCAATATTTTTCAATGGATCGTAGTTTGTATCGCGCTTCAAATTTGACGTTGATTGAGATTATCTCACTCTTCGAAATCTCTCGCACTCGGCATTTATGACGAAAAAACACTTGCAATTGATTGAACGACCACCGTTGCATTTCTTAATAGCAATCACAATAGAGATAATGCAGCTGGAGGAAAAGTTTCTGTTGTCTGCCGGTCTAAAAATAGAACCTGTTATTGTTGATTTAACCGACTCCGAAAATCAAAGCTTGCTTTATATATCTGTCAAGCGACTGAGACCGAGCTGTCAAGCATTTTAATTTTGAATTCCATTTCGATCGAAGAATCGCGTAAACGAAAATTCGTTAAAAATATTTTACTACGCCTGCCGTTACATTAGGCATCTAAGCAACGACAATATGTCACGTAACCAAGAGTATTAACGTCGCACCCAAACGAATAATGCAGTTTTCTCCGCAGACATTTGCATATAATTGTACTTACGCCAGCACATTAGTCGAAACGCAAGTACACTTTTTCTCTCCCAGCCGCCATGCCGCGCAACACATTCAAATTTTAGCTTTCAGCTTAATCGCAACGTGGCTGTCGCTAATTTATGATCGGCATTTCAAGTTTTAATTTAGCCAGGTATATTAATTAGCTTCACGAACATTCTTTCTTTCTCGGAATAAATCGCTTGCATAGAGTTCAAGGTATCTTGAAAGACATTGTTCTGCTTTTTTCTTTGTTCCTTTTGCGCAAGATATCGGCAAAAACTCGCCAAGTGATGTGCCGCTTTGCGCGTGAATCACGAATGGAACGAGCTCGCTGAAGAAGGCAAGTTTGTTTCAGGCTCGTTGCGAAAAGCCCTGGAGGACGGTCGTTTGCGGCCGATTGCTATGCGGCTGCCGAAAATGGTGGAGAGACGTCACGGCGAGTCCTGCAGTACGCCCACGAAACTGATCTTGGCCGTGTTCATCATGAGCCTAATAGCGATGCTCGGCTACGCGCTCTGGCGGATTCGCGACATCGAAGAGCCGTCCGAGAGGAAATCCGACGACTACGATTACAAAATCATCGGCTCGGGCGTTGTTGGGCACCACGAGAGCCCGCTGGATTACGACGACTCGTAGCCGCTGCACGCTAACGCGGTCGAAGAACTCGAGTGCTCTCTAACGAACTATATACAGTGAGGTGCGCGATATGACGAACGTTGCTGGAGATTTACAAGTGTGACTTCGATCGCCGATTCATTATTTATTCTCGCGAATCTTGTAAAACTAAAAAGTAAATCGAGTATTTAGCCTAATATTAAACCTAAGGTTGTTCATGTTTGCAAGGAACATTGCTTTGGATGCAATTTCTAGATGTTAGCAACGTTTCCAATAATAAAATGGTGCCCAGCTGCGCAACACGTCGAGTAAGGAAATGCAACAGAGAAAATTCACAAATGATGTAATTTTTCATGTCAGCTAAAGTGCGAGCGTGCCAGTGATACGAGCAGCCGCATGGCATCGAGCGCAAGTAGAGATTACTGAGAAATTTAGCGAGAAGCTTCGGAGATACTGATAATAAAGTCGCGACTGGCGAGTCGATAAAAGGTCGGCGCGACCGAGACGTCAGCAATAGTGTAGCACAGGAACGATGATCAACGAGAAGTGTAATTGTAAGTTGCCATTTCGACTACAGTATTTATTGAACGGTACGGTGCGTTTGTCAAAGCTTTGCCATTTGAATTTATTGTTAAATCACGTCGACGGTGTTGTGGAGAATAGCGGATCGAAAGAAAAATCTGCCGTTACGTAAATTTGGTGAAGCAACCGCGCCTAGATTACAGAATCTGATATTAAGAAAACGTTCTCGTGCTCGACGTGTATAAATAATACTTATGTTCTAACGGCTACTCGAAGTGGCTACCGGATTCGTCGAGGCAAAAAAATAATTGGCTCATACGAAAAAATATTGTCTTTGTTGAATGAGCCTAAATGGTATTTGGTATTCATTGCAGGTAATAACTACGAGAGAGGTGACCATAGCTCTCCCTTAATAAAACTGGATCTACCGGAGTACGAGGACTACCGTTACCGAGGAACCAGTCATACGGTTCGTCGAGCGTTACGCATCGTCAGCTATGTGGCTGTTTTAATACTGCTGTCCTACGCGTTATGGCGCATCAGAGCAATCGAGTCGAAGATTGAAGCCAGCGACAGATTGTTGAACATCACGCGTAAGCTACAAACGAGCGATGCCATCCATAATCGTAACACAAGATCGATTCAGGAGCAAATGCTTATGAACTCATTCGGAGATGAGAAAAGTACGTTGGGCAAGGACGTAAAGCCATGGAAGAAACCGACGAACAAAGGCGAATTCGATGAGTTGGTGAATAATTTGTTCGGTAAGATCAAAGCTATGCACGACGATCCCGACCGAGGACACTTTGACCGCAACATGAAGGCTGTGTTTCAAGCGTGGTTTCCCGTTTTCGACGCCTTGTTACCGAAAGAACTGAAGGAGGATAACGAAACGAGGCAAACTCGTGAGGCTAGAGAGGAATACTTTTACGAGTTTAGACGAGAAAAGGCACCAGGAACAGGGCAGGGACAATGGCAGCACGTCTGACGAAAATAACAGCGATGAATCCGATAAAAAGGAGACAAGGCCTGGCGGGTCAATAGAAATTAGCAAAACTTACATCAAGCCTACATAGATCAAAAGTCTCGTACTCGTGTGAAAATGATACTGTTACGCGAAAAATGATACGTAAATTTTAAGCTGTATATACGTAAGCGCATTTAGATTAAAAGAAAAAGCTATCAAAATCCATTGCGTGCATTTTCTTCCTCGAGATCAATCCAATCAAGGGAGCATGCATGACTCAGATTATATCAAAACGCCATAAATCCCGATAACGCTTTTCATTTCCGGAATCCCGTATCCGAAAAAAGAAAACCAAATTAGAAGCTGCTCTGAATTATACAATCACGTAAATAAGCGAAATTGAACGTCGTCCTCGCGATCGATCGCGGAAGGTTAAACGGAGCAGGCGTGTTAAATAATTGAAAGCCTAGTCGGCAGGCTAATAGTGTCTTAATACCAAGTGAAATTTGCATCGCTTTTCCGTGATTGATTACGGCGAGGAAGCCTTCAACCTAAAAGCAAGTGATTGTATTGATGCTTTTTGCGGGGCGGGGAAGACAGAATATGACGCCTTTATACTTGTGACGTTGTCGCTGGTGTTTGATTTATTGACTCGGCGAATCATGACAATTCCATTTCGCTCGAAGCTCCATCAAATTCACTTGCTTTTATATAGCTCAAGTAAGATTATAAAAAAGTGCCTCGTTCTCCAGAGGAAAAAGCTACATCTATTCGTGAACAATGGTCAAATAAAATAACAAGGATTCGATTAAAAATCGATGAAGTTATATCGGACGAAGGAAACGACGAAGGTGGCAACTATGATGATTCATAGAATTCACGTAAATTCATTTTTACGAATCGAAAAGACACATACCCAACCCCCAAAAACAGAAGTCAACGGCAGACACACTTTATCGGTTAAATATGGCAAGCGCATTCCCGTCATACATACACATCTCGGCACGCGCGTCATGAGCTTCCGTGTACGTTCGATTGAACGTTGCCAGGGCTTTCGATACGCGCGTTCCTCCTTTGAATTCCTTTATCATTGTACCGACTATTTTTGTCGCCGCTTCGGGCTTTCATAACCGATGACGGAGGAGCATTTTTGTCGAGCTCGGCTTCATCGCTGATCGTAAGAAACAAATTTCACGTGGAACGATTTGACAACAACGAATTGATCTGCTCCTTGTTTCAGAATCACTTTTGTGCATTATACGTTAGAAGCTGATGGCTTGCGGCATAAATAACAAAACTATAAAAATATCGCGCTCAAGGGTAGTACGTACATATAAATCCTTCCAGTGTAGCCAATGCAAAACGTACGCTTGATTAATTGAATTTATTTCAACACTCCTGAAAGTTGATTGCACGCTCGAAACTCAAGTACACGAAATAACCTCCAAAATGATCCAGAGGTTTTTTCTTTGGTCTGCATACATATTCCACCCCTCCCCCCTCCTCAGCCTGTTCATATATGCCGTATACGTGTGGCTGACAGAGTTTATGCGATAGGCTGAACACTCGCCAAGGGCACGGACGAACGGCAAAAAGCAAAAAAAAAGGGAAAAAAAGTGAGAAATGAAAAATAAGAGTAGCGCTATTCGTGTCAAGTCGCCCGACGCCTTCGTGTCTCATTTGATAATGCACGGCGGTACATGCGCACGAGCGAAGTAAGATATGTTACTCTCGTTATCGCGTCGAGGGATGAAGCAGTTGTTATTTGTAAATGAAGTTTCTACACCTTTGCGTTTGCTTCGCTTTGATTCGAAATTGCCCGCTGTACTACTTGCTCTTGGATTTCGTTTTGCTATTTGCGATCGCTCGATCCATATAGTGAAACTTAAGAATCATTACATGCCATTTTATTACAAAGCAGACTACTTCAGAACCAATCAGCTGGTTAATTTTCGATTCGCGTGTTGATTCTCCATGAGAAACCTCCCCTTCACAGATACATATGTACATATGTAGTCGAAAGCAAATCCAATACGTTTCACACGAACTTTCCGGATTAAATGTCGAGACTGACGCTCATGAAGCGGGAGTGTCAAAAGTTTTTGATGTTTTCGGATCACAATGCAGTTTCATTGTCGTTAATCAGATTCAAGGCTGGCACCGATTAGAATTATTGTTATTAGTTGGTAACACGAAAATCTCATTGCTGCTAATTAGCTCAAAATTGTGACGAACAATCAACTCTCACTGTTACTTTTAGCGCAGCTTATAATTAACGCCGATCCAGTTGACTCGTAACAGCGATGAAAAAAATACGCTCTCATTGCGATCTCGAAATTGGTAATAATTATTAGTCGTCGAGTCTCCTGACTCCGCCTCCTCGCTCCTCGGCATTCCATAAGAAAGCCTCATCGATTCTTCCTCCTTCCCCGGCCGTACACATACACCCCGTTTTTGAAGTTGCACGAAAGCGAAGCCGTCACGCGTTATAAGGTGGGGGAGGGGGTGGTTGTATTGGAGCGAGGTCTTAAAAGGCCTGGCAAGCAACGAACCACGCGCAGTCGAGATATTTTACCCACCCTCGGCATACACACACACGCACGCACGCGCGTCCACGCACGCACGCGCGCGCTCGCACGTGATGCAAAGGTAAAGCGAAGAACGACGCATCGACATGGCAATCAAGCGGCTCTTCGTCGCGTGCTTCGGAGTTTTGGCTCTGGCGACGCTCTGCCATTCTCTGGCGCTCACCACTTTCGGCAAGTCCAACCCGCAGAACAACAACAACTACAACAACAATCAGAACAACGAGAAGCAGAGTAGCGATCGTGAGTACAAGCTCCTTTGCTCTGCCGCGATGCGTTTCTTTTGGCACCGTACGTGTCGTTAGAGCGAGTTTCGCAAAAGAAGTCTATTGGCGTATCCAGGTGCGCTGCACAATTTCCATCTATTCCTAAGCACGTGCGAGCCCTGAAAGAAAACAATCGAGAATGAAATTCATCGTATCCTCCCACGCGAGCTCTACACGTTGACAAACTATCTAATCGAATGCACATGTCGTTACTATGAATAACGTAAACTCGACGTCGTACGCGAAAGAGAAAGAAAGGAAGATCGATGCCACACACATAGGCAACATGCAGAGACGAGGGTGGAATCGATTTCTTCATTTTTATCCCTCGTACCCTATACTCAAGGTGTTTGCATGTCTCCACTTCATTTTTTACAACGAATCGGCAAAGAGCGCCGCAGATTATCTTTCGAGGATTCCGATGCCGCTGCAGCGTACCGGAATTCGCTTCGCTGGGGATCAAGAAAAGTACAATGTTGCCTTGCGAGAAAAATCTTTCGTCGACAATAACCGGCACGCGAAGCTTACTTTGTTTAAATACTCTTTCCGTTTATCGAAAGATCTCGCAAGGTCGTTTACTTTTTTTTTTTTTCGAGTACCACGTGCGCAGGTAAATAAATGTGCTGGTAATGAGCGCGCGAGCGCGGGGCGTGTAAGTAAGTCTGCGATCGTAAAATGAAATCCGCTGACTGCTGCCTCTTTCGGCAAAGAGGAAATTTGCGGTACGCGGCAAGCTCGTAAAGTAACAAATTTAAGGGTTGAGCTTGAGGAAATTCGTAGATCCGATGGTGCTGTGGAGGAATTTTATTTTACGTCGCTCGACGGAATGACTGGATGAACCCTGAGCTAAGAAAATTCATCTGCGTTCTTTAATCCGAAAAAAAAAAATCAATTTCCAGGGTTAAAATCACGATAACGACGAGATGCAGTTCTGCATTTTCACGCGCTGGCGCGTGCACGCGAATATTTTCTCGATGCTTGCGATAAGCGTTCCGAGGGGTTGTTACTCGTAAGAGAAGATAAAATTGATTAATCATCTCGACCTACATAAGATATCGTTTAATTTACAGATCCGCCAGCTCGCGAGTGCATCTCCGATTCGGAGTGCGCAGCTATTCGAGGTACTTCTTGCTTGGAACCGATTTTCGCCCTCAAGGTTGATAACAAGCTGAGATGCCTATGTGGTGACTACACCGAGCCGAAAAACGGTGCCTGCGAGAATATGTATAAAAGTAAGTTAATTAATTTTTTTTAATGTAAACAATCCCTTTTTGCATCCTCCATACTTGGGATTTTTTCTTTGCTTCAATGAGCTCGGTTCAAAGTTCACACGTATACAACGTTAGAACTGCAAGGTGTTAAATGTCACGGCGTACGATAATTGGACTAGAAATAGCTTCTTTTATCAGACGTATTCTGCCGTGCCGGAATTTTTTCTGATAGAGCTTTCATGAAAATTTATGAAACATCGATCGATCGTGACTCTGCGAAAAAGTGTTACAATACGGTGCTAGTTTAGAAACACCTTCGATGAACTAGATGAAGATTTTATATTTCAGAACTTATTGATCTTTATACTTGCTCTAACATTCTCGTTTCTTACTACATGATTGATTAATGCAGAATTCAATGTTTTCAATTTTGTGCTAACTAATATTCAATCATCTAATAAATTGAGGAACAACTTCAAATGAAAATGAAAGAAAAAACTTAAGAGTCACATAGCTCCTGATTTCATCCTAATATTTAAACAACATTTTTATAACGACATAGACGATTAGCAGGATTCAATTTTTTCTATTGAACACTGCCTAATATTTGTTTATCGAAAATCGAAATAATCTCGATTAACTACGATAATAGAACTTTATAGCAACATAGCATAACATCAAATGCTGTAACTTAATCGAAAGCTCAATTTTTCAGAGAATATTAGTCAGTAGTACTTATGAAATTGTACGAACGATTACGAACGAGAGACACTATATTAAAGTATTGGGACCGGCTCCCATAGTAGCTTTTAACAAGTGAACTGACCTTTCATTCGGTCAGCCAAAAGCTGACGAAAAATCTGTCCTTACCGTAAAACGGGAGATCTCGAACAAACGTCGTAAAACCAATTCGTATTTCCACTATCCGACACTCCCTTGAAGATATTGTGATGTTATAGCATCGTCGATATAAAAAAAACACGTGAATTCGCGTGTCACGCTTTCTCGCATATGTGACCTGCGAAATCGAGAAAAATTCGTGCCTAACTTTCTAGCATGAGAATTTCTTTTTATATAGGACGCGTGTCGATTTTCACGGCTTGATAAGGGAAAACAAAAAAAAATAGGTAATTGATGTGGCATTGGGAACTCGTTGTCGTTGTTCGATGTAAATCTCGCGCCGGTGTGCAACAAAAGTTGTGTTTCTTTTAATTGCCGTTATATCAGATTTGCTTGATCAAATCGTAGATCTAGGCGAAACCAAATGACCGATGAAACTAATGACAGGCGTTAAAAGTTCGTCGACTATACTCCCTGCATTTCGAGCTTCCTGGCAAGACGAACCGGCCCTACGTGTCTTTTTGCAAATAGGATCGAGTAATAAACAATTTTGCGCAAACACTGCAATTATCCCGCGACGTAGCTTCTTTTCCGAGAACAGGATGTAATATTTACGTGCCGTATTGATTGATTCGTTAATTGTGTTTGTCGAATCAATCGCAAAAAAAAAAATTACTCAACACTCCGCAGAACAAGTTAAAGGAACAAGTTCCGAAGGAAAAGAAAAACGTTATTTTAGTTAGCCGTACTTTGTTCAAGTTACGACAAATATTTTATCGTATCCAACCATACGGGATTACAGAGAATAAAACAAAAATAAAATACAAAGTCGGTACAGTCAACCCTTCGAGTGCAACTAAATCAATTTATCCTGTAAAAAGAATACGAAGGAAAGATTTCCCGTGACATCGTGTGAGTCTTTAAAACTGAAGAGGCACTCAAGAAAATCGTTCACGATAAGTTGGCGTGCGCCACGGCAATAAAGACTAAAAAGAGAGAAAGAGAAAAGACAGAGAGAGGGTGACACGGACATGCAGACGAGTATGCACCTTTTCTCTCGTGAATACTATTTTTTTATATGCGCCCTATCAAGTTGAGCTTCGTTTGTTTTCTTTCAGAGGGCGAGGAGCGATTTTATACGAGTGGTAAATATAAATTGAAAAAATTGATAAGACCCCTTTCTACATGCATGCGTTGATAAGCTGAGCCTCTTGCAAGTAGATCTAGTTAGAACAGACTATCAGATTTACTTTTTCTTTTTATTCTCAGTCAATTAATTTCCAATAAAAAATCGCATCCCGCAACCGAAAGCATTGATAATGGCAAAGTTGATTTAAAAGAGAGCTGCTGCCTTGTCTGGAAAACTGACAAATTGGTAATACTAACGAAGCCTGCCTTACGTGTTACAATAACGCGCACGAATAGTGCCTCCATGCAGGCAAATTTCTCGTGCAAATACTCGCCGTTCTTTGTGTATGCTATTCTTGCCTGTGAGTGGATCGATCGACGCTAGTCGCGGTGTGCAAAGTGGCATACACATGGGATGGATTCGAGTGAAACTACCCTTGATTGTTTAGAATTGCGGAACACAAATACATTCATATCTGCGCGATTTGTTTTATTTTTGTTCAGGCGTCAGAGTGCAGTGCAGCGACCACAGTGAATGCACGCCTGGAGCTTTATGTTTGAGAAGCAACGACACCTCTGTACCTGGTAACAGGTGTTGGTGTAAGAAAGGCTACGACGTCGACGAAGACATGCTATGTAGTGGTTAGTCATTGAATTTTTTTTTACATTTCAAAAGAATTTCATTTTTATAGTAATTTTTGTATAAAGATAAATGTTTATTTGTTTGTTCTGTTTATTTTGTACTTATTTAATTTTAATAGTATGGGAAGTAATACTGTTGTTTTTAAAACATATCTAGATTTGAATATAAAACTAGTGAAATTAACAGACTTCCCATAACATTTTAATAGTAAAAAAAAATTATTTTTGACGAGGAACCTTCAATTCAAATAAAATGAAAAGAAAAAAAATTAAAAATCTCCACCTTGATTCACATAAAAAAACGTCTCAAGTCAAAACAACAGACTTTAGCCTTTAGCTAGTACAATTGCCAAAATCAGATTAAAGTTTCCAGAGTCACGCAAAGTAATAAAGAAAAAAGTTAAAATTACGAGGTAATTAAGATATGTAATTTCTGATGAAAATAAAAACAAATTTCTTGCAGGTAGTCCGGTTGCAATTGGATTTTCTGCACTGTCGTTGATCGCTGGTCTCTTACTAACTCGTAACGTTTAGCCGAAAAAATTTAGAATGATATTATTAGAGATCAAATGGAGTTCGTTACAATTGTGATAAGTTTCGAATGGTTTGCTCCATCGGAAAAGTTTATTTTGTATCGATCGATCTGCACAAAATGTGTGAATTATATTTAGGCTGTATATTTTTCTTGATTATGGACTCATAAAATGATACATTTAACGATTTATAATATTTTTACATTACATCGAAAGACTATAGTGTAGGTTTCGTGCACCGAGTTATTTAAAGATGGAATAAAAAGTCACATTAAAAACAACAATTTCACGCACACTGCTGTTCTCTTACTATTTTTGTGAATATTAACTGAGTTATCGTATTGCCTGTTTGTCCACCGAATAAGAATTTCTTGGATGGAATCTCCTCTTTAAACTCGAAATCTGCAAAAAATATGAAAAAATAAACATATTACAATTAAAACATAACATTCTAAGCATACATTACAACGATTATCTCAATTATGAGAAAATGTTAGAAACATGTCTATTATCAAGTTTTTATAAATTAAATTGTAAATCAACACCATTCATATTAACAAAATTGTCCATGTACAAATTCTAATAATACGAATGTAATTCAAAGTAACAGATGTATAAATACAAAAGAGAATAATTTGGTTTGCTCTTGCGTTTGTCAATTCTTCGTTGAATATAATAATTAACAATTGTAATGTTTACACAGCTACTGCTTATGAAAAACTGTACAAAATAAAACGATTTTTCAACTGTTTCGCAACTTTTTTCTCTCACGACGTTTAATCATCTCCTTTGATAACTTACAATTCGTAAAATGTTCGATAATTTCATCTTTTGTCCAATTGCAGGAAGTAAGTATCAAATAAGAATCATCTAGAAGAATATTGTGAACATTTTCAATGTACTTCTGGCGCTTCTCCTTAGGATTATCCTGGTTCAGGCTGATAGCATCGTAGGTGCCCTTGTCGTGAGCTAACTTGAATTTAAAAATGGACAAACCTAGTACTGCAGAGTCGACGATATCGCCAGCCAGAAGCTCAACTTCAAAGTAATTTTCATTGTCGAGCACTTCTCTGGCTAAGTCGATTGCTTTCTGCGAATAGTCGATTCCCGTTAGCTTTCTAAATCCTTTTCGGGCCAGAGATAGTAGCAGCATACCGTTTCCACAGCCTAAGTCCATTATTCTGTCGTCCTCTTTAAAGAGCTTTAGATTATCCTCGATGTATCTACATAAACATTATGTATTCACAAATAACAACGTCTATTATATTTTTTAACGTGCAAAAGTATAATAGATGAGAAAAAAAATTATTTCTTAAAAATAATAGTTTTTGGAATTATCATCATTTCAAATAAAAATATGCAGTTCTTTGTGACAATTAATAATCCTTTATTTTTTAACACTTGTATTCCCTCCTGAACGGATTTGAAAGATTAGTTCGATCGAAGTGGTGGCAGCACAATCCGACGTATCGGCAATGTTTACACATGTGTTCTCGTATTCTCGATGCCAGAATGGAGAACACATATGTTCTTGATGTCAAAGCAAATTTATTTACTCTCATTGTAATAACACATTCTTATAAGATTTATAAAAAGAAGTTTTACCTGACAACTTTTGTGCCACTTTCCTCGCCAAACCATATTTCACCGACATCTCCGTGATCTTTGTAATTCTCAATTTCCAGAGAGTAAGCTTTGTCCCAACTGTGAGTTATAGTCACTATTTTTATTTGAAAAATATTGTAACTGCATTTAAAGTGTTGATTTTTTTTACTTACTATTCCCGAGTTCCAAGTTCGGACGATGGCAGTTCTTCGTTCGAATTTTCTGACATTTCTATATTTTATTGTATTTTATTAATGCAAATAAATTACCTTTAACATCACATACAATTTTTTTTATCTGAACATTATTTTGCACTAAAATTCACTCATAAGCTTTGTAAATTAAACTTTTCAGGAATCTTACGCTCTTGTTTTGACTGCACTCTTGACTGATTGATCATGTATGCGCAACCTAACCTCGCGAGCGTTACCTAACTTTGCACCTTGCACAGCCCAGTGCATTGATAGTCGGCACAAGTGCGGAAGAGAAACTTTTTTCCTATCGTCATCGTCACATTCAAAGATAATTAGATTTATTATTGCGTAGTATCCCGTGAAAATGAGTTCAGTAAATGTCTCTGGATTTCTCAACCTTGGTAAGCATTTTAAACTTACACTGAATGTTGATGGTTTGATTGATAGTTAAATATATGAGGTTTTAAGAAGATATACAAATAAGTAACTAATTGTGTGATTTCAATTGTCATAGGGAAACAATGTCTGAAAGTTCAAAATACAGCTTTGCGTTCCATGTCCGTGTCAGCACAGCCAAAGACACAAGAGAATATCAAGCCCAAAACTGCAATCTTGATGTTGAATATGGGTGGTCCTGCTACTACAGATAAAGTCGGAGAGTATTTGCATAGAATTATGACTGATCGTGATATGATGCAATTACCTGTGCAAAGGTTTGTTTGACTACTGTTAATAAATCTCTGCCTGTATGATAAAAATTACAATCTTGATTGTGCATCATTTTAGCCGTTTAGGCCCATGGATTGCTCAACGTCGTACTGCAGAGGTGCAGAAGAAGTATGAGGAAATTGGAGGTGGTTCTCCAATTCTCAAGTGGACAAACAAGCAGGGAGAGTTGCTTTGTCAAAAGTTGGATCAGTTGTCTCCAGAAACTGCTCCTCACAAACATTATGTTGGTTTCAGATATGTTGATCCAATGACTGAAGAAGCTTTGCAAAAAATAGAAGAGTATACAAAGATTAAATGTTACTTATAGTGTTTACAGAATATAAATATTTATAAATTGGTATTTTTATAGGGATGGCGCACAAAGGACTATTCTGTTCTCTCAATATCCTCAGTACAGCTGTGCTACTTCTGGTTCTAGTTTTAATGTTATTCATAGATTTTACAAAAATAGGTAAGACTGGCTTTGAAATTTTTATTATAAGTATTGTACTGAATCTTTTTTATTCGTGTTTAGGAAATTTCCAGAACATATGAATTTAAGTATTATTGACAGATGGTCCACACATCCCCTTTTGATCAAGACTTTTGCTGAGCGTATAAAAGAGGAACTCCAGCATTTTCCAGAAAACATTAGAAAAGATGTTGAAATATTATTTTCAGCACATTCATTACCTTTGAAGGTATAGTTGTAAAAATAATATTTCAATAAAAATTATGGACTCAATGTATATATAATTACTAATAATTAAAAGATATTATTTATTTAGTTATTTATAAATAACTAATAAATAAAAGATTTTTTATAATGAAAATTATGTTTAACAGGCAGTCAATAGAGGTGATCCATATCCACCAGAAGTCGGTGCAACAGTTCAATTGGTCATGGAAGAATTGAAGCACTGCAATCCATACCACTTGGTATGGCAATCAAAGGTACATGTACTTTTATGAAATTTTAATTATAAACACATGGCGTTCTGTCGATATGACGCTAACAAAATAGGTATAGATAGATTGAAGTCGATCAATGGCGTTACGAATTAAATTGCTTACTTCCCATCATTAATGACTTAGCTGCATTTCTTTCAAAACTGAAATACCTCAATTAAATATAAATACAATTTCGTAATACACCGTATATTGGAAGAATGATAATAATTTAATTGTTGTAACATATGTTAACTTATAAGTTAACCTAATTAAAAAATCAGGATTGTAATAATATTCTACAATTTTTTTAAATTTCAGGTCGGCCCTCTACCTTGGTTGGGACCCTTCACTGACGATGCACTGAAAGGTTACAAAAAGCAAGGAAAGAATAACTTTATTTTAGTACCCATTGCTTTCGTTAATGAACACATTGAAACTCTTCACGAAATGGACATTGAATATTGTCATGATTTGAAAGAAGAGGTAATTACAATTATACTCTCTGCACAATAATTTAATGAAATATATTTGTAAATTTCATAATTTCTTTTAGTTAAAAATCGATACTATAAGACGAGCAAAGGCACCAAACGATCACCCTTTATTTATAGAAGCTCTTGCAGATATAGTTTTGACACACATGAAATCCGGTAGATCGGTATCCCCAAAATTCCTTAACAGATGTCCGCACTGCGTGAATCAGAATTGTGTGGACAGTAAGCAATGGTTTGCCAAAGTTTGCAAGGCGTGAAGGAATTGTTAAAGTCAAACATTTACATTTTATACATTTGAATTATATTACTTGTTACTATATATTTTAAAAATAAAAAGGTGGCTGTGTAGTTTAGTAAATCGTCTTGATCAGTTTCTTCGATGAATCAAGATGAAACACAATTCTTGTAGGCGACTAATTGGCGTTACTCCTAATATTAAGCTTGTTGACCTACTATTTGCACCTAGCCGATATTGTTCTATAATCATAGAAGGAGCTATCTCCCCACTCAATCTGTAAATTTTTATACATTTGTACAGTAATACCTTGTCACGAATAATTATTTAATTATTTAGAAAGTTTTAAGAGATAACTGAGTTTGAATTTTCATAGAAATTTTTATAAAAATTTAATTTTTTTGAATCAAAAAATAAATTTTGCAATAAAATACTATATCAAGCAATGTTTTCAATCCCTTATCTTTATTACTTTTTATAATATAATTTATATTTAATTTACTTGTGATTATCCGTGAATGTTTAACTGCTTTACATACATTATGATCTAGATCTAGCTTTTCTAATATTAGTTTTTTGGCTGTTACACACTTATCTTAATCAAAAAATCTAAATTAAATTTGAGTCTAGTTACTTTGAAGTAGTGATAAAATTGAACATAACGAAGGATAAAATATAACAAAGAGAAAATCTAATTATATGATAGAAATAAATTTCGCATTGGATATAACTATTTTTTGTACCTTTAATAATGCATGTGAATGACAAGGAAACTGATCAAATTGAAAGCGTTACCGCTACATCTCTGTTATAATATGTCGGTTTTCCAATTTCCTTGTTAAATATCGATGACCTCGGTTAGTATTTCGAACATTTCTAAAATATATTGAATGTATTCTGATGAAATTTATAAATAACCTTTCAATTATACCTTCTGCAAACTTCTGCAAATAAAATTTAGACATAAAAAATTCAAAATAAATATTTAAAATGTATATAATATTTGCATTTAGAAGTAGTGTTTTGTAGACTAGGTCTTCACAGTTAAAACATACAAGAATATACCTACATGGACAGGTAGCCTACGTGTACGTGATTTTCCAACAGAAAATAATTTTAATGGAATGTATCGGTATTATATATGGCCCCATACATATTTTTAAAATTTATACTAACGAGCAAAGACGCTGATAAAACTAGTTTATAACTTCAAAATAAATTTTTTATGTTTGTTTACTGCAATATATCAGGCGCTTTTTTTTAAATTATGAATGGCACTTGATTGACTAAAATTGCATCACACAATTTAATACCGAAGTAATAAAAATATGTCCTTAATTATACTTTCTTTTGGATATTTCAATTGAACTTGTTATTTTGAAAGTAATGTTTGAAAATATGAGGTTCCAACTAATTAATATAATTTATAAAAAAATCGTTGTTTCATTATTTTCTGAGTAATTTTGAAAATTGCTTTCAAAAATGTTATTTTCAAGTTAGAGTATTCAATTAATATATCTGACAGCGACGTTATATAAATAAATCACGACAAAGCCACGAGTATAAAATTACGCATGTCATACTTATTGCTCCCATTGAAATTCATTGTCATCGATTTTACAAGAATCCAGGTGTATAATTTTAAGTCGATGTATTTTAGAAATATTGACAACACACATCACCTGCGTAATTTTACACTATTATTTTTTCCGGGTTTTGCAAGAAACAATAATAATCTATATTTATGAAAACTCCTGAAATAATATTGGCTCAATGACTCAACCAAATATATATTTAATAACAATAAATAATTTAATGTTCTAACTCAAATATTCTACTTAAATTTATTACAAAAACCGATCAAGTTAATGTGACATTGAATGTGTAGATTAAATTAGAACAGCACTGAGAATCTTTTTCTTGTACAATAGAGGTAAAAATTAATTTGATCTTTAAATCAAAAATAACATTACGAAGATTTTAAATGAATTTCTAGTTTGTTGGTATCGAAATAGAGTTTAGTCGACGTGACTAAATATTCACAAATTATTTGGTTATGAAGAATTACTAATACTTTTCGCTATGAGCAGTACATAACGGCAACTTTGTTATTTACTTATATTTTTTAATTATTTTATAAATGAATAATTAATTTTGTAAATCACTATTTTCACTCTTTTTCCGATTGAAATTTTATCTAGCAATATGACCTATAAGCTCTGGAGATCGATAATAGCAGTTAATTAAATATTCATTACATGTACCACATACATACTACATAAAAACGTTATGTTAAAAAGAAATTCTATAGTATATTAATTTAATTATTTAATTATTCTATAGTATTATTTATTTAATTGATGGTGGCAAGAATAGTTAATTGAATAATGAAATTTCTATTGATACTACTGATAAAAAACGATAGTTAAATTTTGATGTTTTAATGAAAACAATTAACGTGGTGCTTTCTGTAACACAAAATTTTGTCGTCAATTGCGATTTGTTAAACTACAAAATTTTTTTTCTACAGAAAGGCATTAATAGAATATTAATTTTCAAATGTCGTAGCTGTTATATTAACTGTCTTATGGGCGGTTCATTTCAATTGTATACAAATTTGATGACACACCCTACACTGTGAATTTATAAATTAAAATTAAGACAAATTAGATGCTGTCTTATAAAATGAACCATCACGTAAAAAAGGGTAGTAAAAAATTCACCCATCATGGCCAAAGCGGAGTTCATCTTCTGTACAAGAGCCACAAAAAAGTTCTACCCCTCCTGCCGTTTGCAACACACGCGCGCACATACACTACAAGACGCCACTACTACTCTGATAACGAACAGCTGTATCCTTTGACCTCCTACTTCTCCTTCCACCCCCACCAGCATAAAACAGTTGGCGCCGGCGCGAACAAGGTAGTATCCGCGGTAGGCACGTCTGGTCGCAGGATATTCGCTGCTCGCAGTGGCAGCCGAGGCGCCGCCTATTTAAGGTCCGCGCAGTGGCGCGCGCGGCCAGTATATGTTATGACTCCGCGGCGTGCGGAGCTACGCTAACGATTCGATCTCGAGAGCGTGCATTCAAAGGCAGCTCGCGCGCGGGGCTGCGCGCAATGCCACCGGGATGTTTTGTTTTACTTCTCAATCTGCTTGTCTTCATGGGGAAGGCGACTGCGATACTGCCACTCGAGCATCCACACTGCAGCCATCGACACCCACGAGCGCACGAGGTCAGTCTACAGTTTATAACAACTGCAGAGCTTGACATAACCTACAAAAAGTGTGCGGCATTATAGACTCAACACTGTTATTTTTTTTCTCTTGTTATTGTTTTTTTCTTTAATCTTGTGGGAGTTAGATCGAAATTAGCGTGCATACGGTGAAGTCAGATGATGGTGCGTGATAGGAGAGATTGCACGAGCACTGTCATGATGTTTTTACGCAGGTAGAGAGGAATGGAAATATTTTGAAAATTACTACATAAGGCATTTTTTGTCTCCTCTTTTTAATCTACATCGAGGAATTCAAAGAAATGCACGTATGTACATACACATTGTTATGCATTTTTGTACGATGCTTTATTCGTCTGTCTGACAAATTCTTCCGTGCGCTTTGTGATGGAAAATTGAAAAAGCAATTAACGCTGGTAAATAATGAATTTTTACTTTTTATGACGAACGGACGAGAATATTTTATTTGGTTACTATAGCGCAATTAGCGGCAATGACGTTAACAATGGGTTGTGATCGTATCCATTAAAAATCAATTTGAGCTGTGTTTTAATTAGCGTTGGACATCGGGGAAGGGAAGAGCACTTGTCAAAGAAAAACTTGCATAGGGGGCAGTAACTTGTTAAATAGCCAGCTTGCGATCTTCATTGAAATTCTCTGCATCGGCAAACAACACGTGTGCGCGAAATGTAAACAAAACAATGTATCCGCGCTCGCTCTCTTGCGAGTGCATTATTCATCGGTGAAAGGCGATCAAATGTTTATACGGGCGAAAACGAGGTTTTGCCCTTTTTCTCTCTGCAAGTTTCCAGTTGCAAGTTCTAACGAAGAAACGCGCGCGCCCGTTCTTTTGTTTACGTTTCAGCTATTTTCTTCCGCGGGATAGAAATTAACGAACAGTATAATATTTCAGTTGTTTGCGAGCTTGAAACTTTTAAAAAAGTTTCTTGTTATAGGCGTGATTATTTTGTATTAGGCACATAGCGCGCACAAGAAAACGGATCGCCGTACAATTCATTTAAAAAATTACTTCGAAGATAAACAAATGAAGAGGTAGTTGATGTAAAATCAATTCTTGTTAGACTAGTTCACCCGATTAATTGCGTACAATTTTTAGTTAACTATACAAATGCGACTGAACTTTGGAATTTAGAATAATCTTCAAACGAGCTTTCTAAAGGCATTTCAAAATCACATTAGCTCAAAGAATCAACGACAAAAAAGTTAATCCATTAATCATCTTCGAGCATTCATTGAATTAAATGAATGCAACTAAAGTAATCCTTAAATAATTTTCAAACAGGCTTTCTAAAATCATTGCAAAATCTTCGTAAAAAAGGCGAACCTCGTCCATTGCAACGAAAAATGTAATAGACATTCGAGGACCGGTTTATTTTTCTTTTGCAGCTAACTGACGCATTTCAATGAGGTGAAGAACGCGCTTGGAAAATTGGGACAGACTCGTGCCACCAGCGGCGGTGCCGGCACTGCAGTGGTCACGTGCTGTCTCTCCCTCGCGCGGACTGTCGCTTTTGTTTACGTCGCTCTCTCGTTGCAATCGATACGTACCGCACTCGCTCTTGTCTGAATGAAGAGCCGATTGAATTGGCTGAAAAGGAACGTATCTTTTTCTGAATTTAGTTTTTTTTTTTTTAAGCGTCGACTTTTAGAGAAAGAGAGAGAAAGATATATTGAAGTGAAAGTGAGAGGAAGTTACGGTCTTGATCTTGACATTATACAACGCTTTTTGCTTCTGAAGGAAACCTTTGGGGAAGGGGCGGGGGGGGGGGGGGGTTAATCGATACTGATGACGACACTACTGCGCTGACTAAACACTTTTTTCGTTGGTGGGCCAAAGATGAAAAGTGCGATAGCATTGAACCTTTATTTTTTTTCGATCTATGTATCTTATGGTGCGAGAGAACAATGTTGCAAGTTAACCATGTGAAAGTCTATGAACATACTGTCATGTAAATTAATTAAGTATCGATAGCTAAACTACATAATGGCTGCTATGTATCACGTTTCTTGCTTTTTTTACTGTCGAGAATAAATTGAGTTTTAAAATATTTAATTACCGGTGGATAGATAATTGAATAGATAATGATTTCGTTTCACTTAAAGGTGTATGAAATTGGTTATTATAAATATCGACAGACTAAATTGGATAATTTTGTGGTAATCTTAATTTGATTGTTTTGTGTTTAAAATTGCGAAGCGATATTTTTAGTACAGTCGATCAATAACGTTTATAGAGATATATCAGTAGTGTTACATCAAATTAATACTATTATTATATTTTCTTGGAATAAAATTATAAATTTCTCAATACCACTTAACTGATTCTCTTCAATTTGTAAATTATTTCGTAAAGACAGTAATCTCGAATTGACAAAAAAAAAACTCGCTTTATAAAGTCGTAGTAATTCGGTGCGCAAAAAAGTAGTTCGCGCGCCGACACTTCAGCAACACTTACTCAATCGCATTGCAGTCGGAATAATTTTTCAACATTCTGTGCTACGCGCGCGAAGGAACGAAACGATCTCGTTCGAGATCATGCAAGAATCCTTAAGTATTTCACGAGCAGATTTTTATACTTTGCGGCAGCGAGTGATGGTTCGTTTTTTTTTTTTTTAACGCACACTTTATCGTGGAGATTTATAGGTGATCTTGTAAGAACTGCCGCTGTGACATAATGTTTTATATCTAATGCAAAGTCGATTTCCCAAGTTGTACGCATTGGTTTCGCATTATATAGAGCTGTAGATGAGATTTTTATTTTGCATGTAAACGTGTCTGTCCTCAATATCGTTCGGTTTTTTTTCGATATATACTGTTATTGTGGTAGTTAAAATTATGTTTTATTTGAGCTTCGGCCATTACTCATAGTTTGCATGAAACACGTATAACACTAAATCAATTTTCATGCAAATACATGTTATTAAAAGTTACGAAATATTTCATCATTGTCTTTTTATTAACAACAGCTACGTGAGGTGGCTGAAAATAAAAGAACAAAGCAGGAAACCTACTATCCAATATTTCGTCTTTTATTCTATTCGATTCTATTTCAGTTCAGATGGTCCATTGTAGGAAAATACTAGTATAGGCTATTATTTGATTCCACCACAATATGCTTTATCAATATCAGGATCCCTCTTCATCTTTGATCTATCGGTATTCTGTCAAAAGTCGAGTAAATGTCTAGACTAAGTTTACAAAATTATTCAGCAATAATGTCATGTCAAATTATTCCATTCGAACTCGGAAGCCTATAATCTGAATAAAAGAAAAACATACAACTAACTTTTCGTAGCCCCTCATAAAATATACAGCCGTTCAATAAAAAAGAGAGAGAGAGAGAGATGAGAGAGGAGAGAACACGCAACGTCGCCGGTAAGTCAGAATAGCCTCTAGTATTCGACGAGGAGGAGAATCAGGTAAAAAGCGCTGCACTCGAGAAGAATCGATAAGGGAAATAAGAAAAAGAGCCACTCGACCAGAGAGAGAGAGAGAGAGAGAGAGAGAGAGAGAGAGAGAGAGATGGGTGAGCGAAGGATTCACGCTGTGAAAATAAGGTTAAAGAGCGCTTTGCGTTCTTTTTTTTCTTTTTATGGTGATCGCTGCTGCTATTCCTTTCTACTTCGTTATATACGCACCTTGCACTACTTGTTAGAGTAATTTGAAAGTGGAACGAGTGCATGCGTGACAACCGATATGATATCGTGTGCTTTAGTTTATTTTTTCTATAATGTTCTGACGTATTTATTTATAAGTAGAACGAAAGTTAAAAAGAGTAAGGCGATTTATTTTATTAAGCTAATCTCTCAAGATCGTCGCGATATTTTATAGTGAGCAATTTACTTGTTCAGCTGAGTTTGTTACATTTAGACTTTTCATACTCGGCTATCGGTAAATCGATATTATTTTTGTCTTCTGTTCTAACGTCAGAATTCATAACTTTCTCATCGGTTTCAACGTGATATATGCTATTTCCGTAGCGTTTAAAATAATAAATTCGACCATATATTAGAACTAAAATATCATATTATATTCTTATTAATATTTCAATTATGAATTGAAATCCAAGCAGCGACAGCAATAAATGTTCAACAGCTTGGAATTCCTTTGAAAAGTTAAAATGTCTATACACGCGAAAGCAATAAAATGCGTGACGGCGGTAAAGCTGCGTCTGAAAGCCTGTTATGCTCCTGGTTTGCCACTGACTCGTTTTAGTCTCGCGTGTGATGTAGACATGACCCTGAGTGACTTTTCGAAATTACGACAAGTGGCTAATTAAAGATTAATCTTGCGTGCATTAAATTAGGCGTTAACGTATCATTTCTTTCGCCTCTTTCTCTCTCTGCACTTCATGTTTTAATTAAACGATAAGCGCTCTTCGCGTCTTACAAATGGGTCGAGTTACAGTTTTTTTTAAATATTATATCTGATCAGATTTATCGTAATACAAACTTTCTTCTCGGTATGAGATATTCAAATGGAAGCAACGTTTTGGTTTGCACTTTCACTGATCAACAAACCATTATAAGTCAACGGCATCGGACGGCGGTTCTTAATACGGTAGTTCTTAATAGTTAACGGTCGATAATTCTTGTCGTATTCATTATTTTTAGTGGAAATCGCGCTTGCGATTAGGATGTGTAAAGTGTCGTTTATGTATAGGAAGCAGTTAGAAAGTACTATAAATAATTACTCGGAATTTATCCCGTATTAAATTTGGTTTTCTCCGAATTTTTACGACTCCCTCGGCCTGACTTTTAAGGAAATGAAAAAGCCCATCAGTAAATTAGCAATTTATGCAAGTGAATATTTATTATGATTCGTTACCAAAGGCAAAGAAGAATAAATGAAGTAATTGAGCAAGCAACTGGCGCGGAATTTCCAGCAGCGCATAATCGCGCGCTGTTATAAACAATTCTCGAGGCTACCAAGCGTTGCTGCCGCTGTTGCCTGTAGGCTATATTTATTTCGGTGATTCG